AACAGTTTCATTTATAAAAAAAAAAAAAAACAAAAAAAAAAAAAAACAACAACAACAACAGTTCTGAAATTCATGAAATACAGAAATAAACCAGGGGGTGCAATCCCTTCTTTAAAGCATGGTTGATTATCCTAATGGCATTACCTTGAATTTTTTTATTGTATTCCTCAAACTGAAGTTCATTCTCCTTGGTTGGTTCCTCAGCAATATCTATGGGAATGTCCAGTACATCAATACGCATCTCTCCAAGTTTAGCAAACAAAGCCTGACTTTCTCTCTTCAACTTGGTATTTTCCTTGTTGATCTACAGAATAACATTTCAATCTTACATGTCTTTCCAAGTTCAGAAAAGTTTCAGAAAATAACATGACTACACACTCAATCAAAGTACATCCTTTAAAAGAAGAAGCTCAAAGTCCCAAATAATCATTCATTATCTCACCTTAGAATAGAAATGTGTGAAAATGACGATTAAAGTTTTGAGTTGCCTATGCTTATACACTGCAACAAGAAATATAAACATCGATATTTTATATTTTTGAGGGTTTTTCTATTGTTTCAAATCAGCACAAAGATACCCAGTAGATGCATAATTGAATAATTAGATGCAGGAAAAAAAACTCATTTTGGTAACTGGATGATAATAAAGGGTTACTTTATCCTTAAAATGGATGGTATAAACATTGAATCCAAGTGCAGGGACAGGTTGGACTGTGATTTGTGAGTAGGAAAAATTCAATTTGGTGGAAAAATATTGGATAGGATACCTACAATATTGCTATTATTTTCATAAGTATATTAAAACCCAACGACTTCAGTTTTAAGATTTATCACAATGATAGTGTGAGATAAAATTTAAAGCTGTGGTTATAAAAACATCACACTTTTCAATGTTTTTTTATAATGCTTCATATCCAAGCAATTAAAAATCAACCACATGCAAAGGGTTTATTCAGTCAATAACAAAACTGAATATGAAAACACATCACACTGAACCAGTGTGCAGAGATATACCACTATACCACATTACAGTGCATGCTGCCAAGCAGTCCACACCACAACAAATGTTCACTAGCATACAGGTATTTTGTCGCAAATGTGTGAGCAGCTTCACAGTTCTCACATTAAACATAATAATACTACATTTCCTAAAGGCTTTAAATTTTGAAAAAATAACTATTAGTAATTCTTCATGCAATACTGGCCAGTCTAAACCACTCATTTAAAAACAGTTGCCATGACAACAAAACACTTACTGAACAGACAGATGTGCATCATCCTAAAAATTTACTGAACACAATCTCATTAGAAATAAACAGAAGGGGAATAGGGGCATTTCTCCACTACACATCATACACAAACAATACAACATCATTCAACCTTACCTGCCCAGATACAGCACACTAGATTTTTTCTTAGTTACCTCAACAAGCAGGTAAACACCATCTGAGAGCATATAATAGTCAAAGATGCATTTAAATCATTTTTGTTGATTATTCCTTTGGGAAAAAAAGATAATGATAAAAAATATATATTTTTACAATTAAAATGATACTATAATCATTCAATTAAAGCATACTTTATACCTTTGAGGCATATCTTTCTGCCTCGGCCCTGCATTCATGCTCAATCTGATACTTTGTTCTTATCTCATCATATTCATTGTAGACAGGCTCAAGATCTGGAAAACAGCATAAAAAAGTTTCTTTTTTTTTTTCGACAAGTACATGTATAAAACAGGCATTCAGGTTCTCTTATATTGACTTATTCTATAAATTTCACGAAAATACTGAAAACTTACCAAGGCTCTTTGTGTCTCCTTGATCTAAACAGACTTAAATAATATTGCATAACAATTAAAAGAATAGGACAAACTCAAGTATAACGTTCAAAATTTGGCCGATGATGGACATTTTTATTAAAGGTCCCTCTGATTAAACTATTATTTAGATTTTCATGACAAAGATGAAGGAACTGGGTATTTACATGTACTTACATTCTTGTAACTTTTTCAGCTGATCTTCTCTCTCTGCTAATGTCTTTTTTACTTCTTTTAGCTGGAATAAGGAATTTCTCATTTCCACAAAGACAATCTAACATCTACTACTAGTACATACAATCAACAGTTGAAGCACTCTCCTTTTCCATGCATCTTCAATCCCTGAATTTACTAATATCAGTTTCACTGATGCCATTCGCAAAATTTAATTACATTTTTACATCACAGTAAGTACAGGAGGTATTACTTATATTAGTATATTGCTAATAAAATAAATGTCATTATTTAGCACTGTGGTGGTACATACATGTATATAAGAAAACAAAGCCTTATCAATGCTGGCTCATTTTAAGATGAAATTTATTTCAGTCAAATAGCTAGATTGTTTGAGTTTCATTTAATTATATTTTGAATCAATTTGATGATACATCTGCTGAAAAATGTTAAATCTTTTACATTTCCTTAACCTTAGTTAAGAGTCAATCTAGTAATTTATCATTCATCAAAACTCAAAAGGAAAACACTGGTCTATAGACCTACCTGTGTTATATTGTCCTTGTATTTGCAATGCAGGTCATCATAATCTGCAATAGCTGCGAGAAGATGAAAATACAATAAAAGAATTTATGAACAGGTATATGTGCTTTATTGTTGTGATTTATCTCCCTTCATGACACAACTAACATTTTTATTACAGGAAGTTTGGGAAGGCTAAACAATTATTGAAGACTCTTAACTTACAGAGTACTTTTTATAGCTTTGAAAAATATAAAATTAGAGTCATCATCATCATCATTTAGAGCCTATAGTGTTCCACTGTTGGACAAAGGCCTCAGNATTCTGACGGTATGAAGCAAATCCTTTAAATTTTGAAAAAATAACTATTAGTAATTCTTCATGCAATACTGGCCAGTCTAAACCACTCATTTAAAAACAGTTGCCATGACAACAAAACACTTACTGAACAGACAGATGTGCATCATCCTAAAAATTTACTGAACACAATCTCAATAGAAATAAACAGAAGGGGAATAGGGGCATTTCTACACTACACATCAAACACAAACAATACAACATCATTCAACCTTACCTGCCCAGATACAGCACACTACATATTTTCTTAGTTACCTCAACAAGCAGGTAAACACCATCTGAGAGCATATAATAGTCAAAGATGCATTTAAATCATTTTTGTTGATTATTCCTTTGGGAAAAAAAGATAATGATAAATGAATATATTTTTACAATTTAAATGATACTATAATCATTCCATTAAAGCATACTTCATACCTTTGAGGCATATCTTTCTGCCTCGGCCCTGCATTCATGCTCAATCTGATACTTTGTTCTTATCTCATCATATTCATTGTAGACAGGCTCAAGATCTGGAAAACAGCATAAAAAATTTACATTTTTCTTTGACAAGTATAAAACAGGCATTCAGGTTCTCTTATATTTACTTATTCTATCAATTTCACAAAAATACTGAAAACTTACCAAGGCTCTTTATGGTTTTGTTCACATGGAAAGTCTATTTTCTAAAAATCTATTTTCTATTCGTGGTATCTTATGATCATGGTCTGTACCCTGAATATCCCGCGGCGTAATTACTGGCAGCGCGAGCCAGTTACTTATAGTAACTTATAGTAACTGGCTCGCGGGCAGGGCACAGACCATGATCACAAGATATACCATGAATAGAAAATAGATTTTTAGAAAATAGACTTTCCATGTGAACGAAGCCTATGTCTCCTTGATCTAAACAGACTTAAATAATATTGCATAACAATTAAAAGAATAGGACAAACTCAAGTATAACTTTCGAAATTTGGCCGATGATGGACATTTTTATTAAAGGTCCCTCTGATTAAACTATTATTTAGATTTTCATGACAAAGATGAAGGAACTGGGTATTTCAATTATATGTACTTACATTCTTGTAACTTTTTCAGCTGATCTTCTCTCTCTGCTAATGTCTTTTTTACTTCTTTTAGCTGGAATAAGGAATTTCTCATTTACACAAAGACAACCTAACATCTACTACCAGTACATACAATCAACAGTTGAAGCACTCTCCTTTTCCATGCATCTTCAATCCCTGAATTTACTAATATCAGTTTCACTGATGCCATTCGCAAAATTTAATTACATTTTTACATCACAGTAAGTACAGGAGGTATTACTTATATTAGTATATTGCTAATAAAATAAATGTCATTATTTAGCACTGTGGTGGTACATACATGTATATAAGAAAACAAAGCCTTATCAATGCTGGCTCATTTTAAGATGAAATTTATTTCAGTCAAATAGCTAGATTGTTTGAGTTTTATTTAATTATATTTTGAATCAATTTGATGATACATCTGCTGAAAAATGTTAAATCTTTTACATTTCCTTAACCTTAGTTAAGAGTCAGTCTAGTAATTTATCATTCATCAAAACTCAAAAGGAAAACACTGGTCTATAGACCTACCTGTGTTATATTGTCCTTGTATTTGCAATGCAGGTCATCATAATCTGCAATAGCTGCGAGAAGATGAAAATACAATAAAAGAATTTATGAACAGGTATATGTGCTTTATTGTTGTGATTTATCTCCCTTCATGACACAACTAACATTTTTATTACAGGAAGTTTGGGAAGGCTAAACAATTATTGAAGACTCTTAACTTACAGAGTACTTTTTATAGCTTTGAAAAATATAAAATTAGAGTATTAAAAGAAAACTTAGATTTTATTTATAAAATATACCCATCACTATTATATTATAAATAAAGCAAACATAAAGAATTTCTAACTAGTCAAGGAAGTGTATTTCTGTCAGATGACTCATATATGGCAGATTGAGAACAATAGTAATTAAGCATGCTAGTACACTTCTGATAATCCATGTCATTCATTCAAAACTCCATTTAAGATGCTCCTCTTCATGAATAAAATATAAAAATGAAAACCTCTGAAATTTATATATACTACCTATATGATCACTAAATTGTCATTAATTTAGAGACTTAAGCATGATGAAACTAAGCCTTTCTTTATCTATGGAAATGTAATCATGCAGAATATTATACTTACTAGTAAGCATGAATGCATGCTTACTAGTAAGTATAATATTCTGCATGATAGAATGAAATGATGTTTCTGTGTTAGCATGCCTATATATTTTAGTTTCTGATATGTACTATTTGGCTCACTAGTAACTGTAAATCGGAGTTCGAGTGATAATGCATTTTATGTACTGCAATGATTGTGTTGATTTGAATATGAACATTTACAAGGATAGCTTCATGACACCAATGATGTTTTCATTTAGTGGAAAGTAGGAAGATAATAGAACTCCAACATAAGACTTCTCGCCACTATGTTCATTTGTATTTTCAAGAATACTGACCATGCTGACAAGAATGTGCCAAGAATTTATACAAGTACTGGTACATGTACAATATAAGTACTGGTACATGTACATGTAAATACTAGTATTCAAATGGGCTTCTTGGAAAGTGCCCTGCTTTTGGCAAGGTGACACCAAAAAGAGGGCTTGCTTGTATCATTGAATGATAATTATACACTTGTCAGCAGTATCTGATACTCATGGATATGTAAAGTTTATTTGAATTAACAGATAATGCTGGGTAGCAATTTTATCAATTGCATGTTACCCATTACCCATATTAGACAAAGTTCGCATATCTTAGGCTCCACTAGTGACTGTCAATGCAGATCAATAAAGAAAAATATATGTACACGAAACAAAATATATTTTCTCATCACGCCTTATATTTGATGTTGATCTTCTTCAAGTTGAAAGAATTAAGAGGGAGTTATTAGTCAATGTCAATGACTCAGTACTGGCAAAGAAGACAATCTACGAATTACTTCATGGAATTCAATTCGTTTCCGTGGCAAGCGAACTTTGCCATTTCCAGAATTCGATAAATATAATTAATTTACCTTTATGTGCAAGTTTCTTCAAAGTTGACAATTGTTTTTCCAACTTATGGCACTTTTCTTTCCAGATCCCAACTTCCGCGTCCATGCTTGCAGATACCAGGAAGTGTTTTGGAATTATCCGGGAAACTGCTAAAACAGTGCGCAGATTGTCAAAACAATGACTTTAGCTTCGTGTGTATTTTTGCTTTTTCTGGATAAAATCAATAAAAATTACAGAGATTCAAAAACATAAGCAATAAGTATTTAATGCTGCTCTTTATGATGTAATGGCAAAACAAAATGCTTGCTAAGACGTATTTAAATATTTTACATCGTTCCGCTTTTGAGAACGTGCGCGCTGTTATTTTGACCTCTCTTAATCTCAAGTGTAAGGTCGGCATACAGGGTCGGCAGGTTAACAAGCTCGCAATGGTATTAATCGCTGTCTTTATCATTTCTGTATCTTTTTTTATTATTGGGAAGGGTGGGGGATAGTAAAACAAATACACCAAATATACTGTTGGTGCTTATCTTTCTGTACTTATGCCCTTAACCAACCCCTGTAAACTTACATGAATGCATGTACTGTACAGTACTACTCAGTACTGTACATGTACATATCTTTGATTTTCAATGTTTTTTTTTTTAATTCTAAATTTAACTAAAGTACATGTACTACACAAAAATGTTGTAGTTCATTTCCGCACGTTAATACACTTGCAAATGAATTAATTGGACGGCTTTCTTTTTATACCTTTCAAATGTAATGACAGCTGAGCTCATTTCAGGGTAGCACGAAAATTCATGCGTTAGCGTTGATGATTCTGATACATGTATGTGCTGGCTGCACAGCCAGTACATATCATAATCGTAAATAGGAGTGCTAACGCATGAATTTTCGTGCTAATTGTACCACCAGCGTAGGCGCTGGCGGTACACATGGTTTTAGTCCCGACCCGTATGTTCCGCCGGCTCCGCCGGCTCCTGCGGCTCCGCCACCAAGTCACCGTTACCGCTTCTCCTCCTAGACGGTAAGGGCCTCCATACCCATCTCTTGGATTTAGGTCACCTATAATCTCAACNACTGAACTTTGCATAGTTTGCTTCCCCTTTATCTCCAAAACTGGCAGAGATAGGTCCATAGTTACTATTGAACGTGAATAGGAAGTCATATACTGGCAATCTAAGTGTGACCTTGAAATTGACCTTTGACCTACTTATTATCATGAACTGAACTCTGCTAATTTCTTTCTCTTTTAACTCCAAACCTGGCAGAGATAGGCCCATAGTTACTATTGAAGTTGAATAGGAAGTCATATACTGGCAATTTACTGTGACCTTGGAATTGACCTTTGACCTACCTTGCCATGAACTTAACTTTGATTGTACCATTTTTAGTAATATATATATTTTTTGCATATTTTGAAAATTCTTGTTGATTGCATTTTTACAGCTTGTCAAGCACAAGACTGGTGGCTGTGTTCCTTATTTTGTATATGTGGGGGTCTATATGAATGCGCTTGCTCCAGCTGGTGGTACAATATTCGGAGGCGGTATCGCCTCTCTGATCCTCTAGTTTCAGGGGTAAACATAAAGTGAATTGCAAAAATAATCTATATGGCTAACGATATCTGAAGAGCAAAAAATCACTAAAAAAAAAAAAAAAAAAAACAAACAAAAATCAAAGGTCTTTGAATTAATCAGTTAAGTTTGATGGGCATACTACATGCAAAAGAGGATGACAACATGTTGTTAGCCATGGTAATGGAGAACCTTAAGATCGAAAATGTTTCATGAGGTATTTTGTTGGTTATAGGCTATTGTCAGTTAGTTGCGTCCCCAGGCCATAGCTTTTGTCTTACTAATATGGGAGTTTAACGGTACAACACTAGTAAAAAATTCTCTTTTGATTGATCTCTTTCCTTCCTCTGTCCCTATCTCCCTCCCGTTTTATGATATATAAACCTCATTTCATGTTTTTTTTACAGGAGTACTGAAGTGGAATGGTAAAGTGAAGATGCTTCATACATTTAAAAAACTTGGCAAACTATGTGATGTTGGCTGCCCTGCTGCAGTTACCTTTCTGAAGCACACCTCTAGTACATGGTCTATTTGTAGGAATACAAATGCATGTATTATGGACATATAGAAAAATAACTCTCACTTTTTGTCCTGTCAGGAAAAAATGGCAGGCTGTCAGAATGTACAGCAGTATTCTCTCAAGTAACAATGTTCCCTTCTCTGCTACAGTGAATCTGCTAAGTTTAAGACATTCACTATTGACGTTAGCCTGTAGTTCCATAAGCTCCCTGGGCATAGACAACTTAGTGTCTTGGAAGACGGAGAAAAGGAATGTGCTTAAAAGTAAACATATTTCACAAAATCCTAAAGGATCCTCAACACATAGTTACTCTAAACTATCTTCAGCTTCACATTGCTTTGAGTGTCTTGATCCAAGCTATAGGCACTATAAAATAAACTGCATCTCAAGGGCTTTTGCAACGTCTCAGAAGTGCTTTAAGAAAAGGCTGAAGACAAGCAAAGAGAGAGATAACCATGAGATATTTGATGATGTTGATGACACAGATATTAAAGGTAAAACTTTAAATTGTTTCTCAAATTAAACATTAAATGTAACCTAGTAGTGAAAAACACTGCTGTATGTTTTTCTTAGAATGTAACAATTTAGATTTGTTTTAGATATCTGAAAGCAAATGGGGATGTTAATTGTATTTCAAAGCACTAAATTGCAGCCAGCACAACATAACTTCTAAGATTTGCTTTTGCCCCAATTGGCTTGATATATATTTGCGTTTAATTTATGAATTATATTAAAAAAAAAAAAAAAAATTAAAGCAAACCACTGTACATATGCAGATGTATGTAAACTCTTTAAAAATCCCTGAAATACCTGTAAATCCAGTGTCTCGTTTTTAAATTTGGGAAGGTTGGGTGTGTGGGAGGGGCAGTGTAGGGGTGGGGGGTGGGGAGATGGTTAAAGACTAGCTCTTCTCCCACCCTGTTTGTGCCTATGCTGCAAGATTGAAATGGGAAAAACAAGCTGTTAGATTCCCTTTCCTTTATATATCCCAGATATAGTTGATGATGAAGTTGAGAAGAGTCTACCAAGTGTTCAGTTGCAGGACTACATCCTGCCAGAGGGAGGGCAGCAAGTGTTTGTGATACAGCCAGGTAACACATGTACTAGTATGGTGACGCATTTCCATTTTCTTTTTCTTTTAGCATGAGTTGTACAATGTACATGTATATACATGCCTGTAAAGGTATATCATTTTATGGTTTTCCAAGTGATGGTGAATAGGCTTCAGAGGGATATCTGTAAAATTTTAATTTTCATCAGATGTCTAATTTAAATACTTATATATAATCATCTCTTACTACATAGAAATATGCCATGATATGCATATTTTTTCATAGTGTAAAATATAATTTTGGCTGTTGTCTAATCTTTCTATTCAGTCCATTAAAGTTGTGTTTGGTTTCAGAGAATGTTTTTATGTATGATGTTGCATCACAGGTCAAATCATTTCAATGTTAATTGGACTGCAAAATCTATTTTCAGTGTTTAGTGGAAGGGAGAAAGCCCCAGTGAATGAGCTGACAGAGTCCTGTGAACTGGTGGAAACTCTGGATAAGTGGACTGTTGTGGAGAAGGTAATGGAAGAAAATACATAATTTGGGCAGAAATTGACTGAAGATTTACTTGACGTATCAGACACAGGTACAAGGGAAAAAAAAAACTCACCAGTGTTTTTAATTTATTGAGTATGGGCAAGGTTGCCAATTTTTAGAGTAAGTACATGTAAGTACTTAAAAAACAGTTATATATATGTAAAAAAATTGTCAGATTAGTAAAGTGTTTAGTTTGGCATCATGTAGGCCATGTATCCTGTGCAGAGAGGGGACAAAAGTCAGCTGTTCAGCATTGGGGTGATGGAAAAGGTGACAAAGCACCTCCAGTCATGTCAAGATGCCTCTGCAGTGTTTGTTAGTTTAAGCAGGTTGACGGGGACACAGATAGCCACCTTACAGGACATCTGGCAGTTACCTGTGTATGACAGGTAACCTATATAGGGCACCTCTAGTGTGGGCCAGTAGGTTACAATTAATGTCTTGCTAAAGGGATATTTTAATAAAAATTAAAACTTTAAAAAGTTTCTTCAAGGTACTGGTATACCAGTAGAGATGTGTTTGTCTTTGAATGTATATTTAGGAAATGTGCAAGGACAGAATTTAAAACCAGACTTACCAGTAAAATACAATATTGATATCAGCTAATAATTTTGATGAAGAATCAGTGAAATTGGGTTGGTCTGCGGACCAGAAACACAGACATTTTTTAATTGACCTTTTTATAATATCATGGTAGGTACACCATAGTGCTTCAAATCTTCAAGATGAATGCAGTGAGTAATGCTGCCAAACTGCAGGTGGCTTTAGCTGAGATACCATACCTCAGGTAATAGTTACATTCCAATAAATATACATAATTCTGTGCACATATAGAGATACTGGTAACTCAGGTCCTGATGCTTTACTAACTTGTTTACATACCTTTTGTACATACGTATTGGTAGTGTATAGGCACTGTACCCTAGGAGATGCAGGCAATTTACTGGGTACCTGTACATTGGTTCCAATAGGTGACCATAAAAGTTATTGTCGAGCCCTGTACTCATTCACACACTTCTTAAAATTACAAGTAGTGTACAGGCACCAGGGGCAGATTGAGGCCATCTTCTGGGTCTTCCGGAAGACGGTCAGATTTTCAAGTTTACATTGACGGGTATCCAATTTTTGTGTCGGAAGACGGCCAAAAATGAAGGATAGATCAACCAAGGTAATTTGGAATACTGTCAGAAAAGACCCCTGGGCACTGTACCCCAGGAGATGCAGGCAATGTATCGCTGAGTACATGCACATTGGTTCCTGTGATGTTGTTCTAGGACCCAGGTATGGGCTCTGTCCCCAGGATATTATGACCAGCAGAAAGGTGGAACCTCTTACATTGGAGGCAGTGGGGAGAAACAGATAGAACTCAGCAGACGTTTCCTGCATGTAGGTAATCTTTTCTATTTTGACTGTCCATTGGCTATGGCTATAAAAATTAAAGAAATGATGAAATATGTTAGACCTGTAGCTAGTAAAGATAAAGGGTAGTCTTTTACTATTTATTTAATATTTTTATCTTTCCGCTTTTATTAATGGCATAGAACCTAGATCAAATTTTGATTCAGATTGGACCATTTTCGGACCAAAAGGGTGATTCTTTGAATCTACCCTCTGAACCTCCTGCTCTATATGCAGGCCTAAAGCGGGAAGTGTATTGTAAAGTACAAGTAACTGCATTTGTTGTTAAGTCAATCACTTTCATTATTTATTTAAGGAAAAAGAACTGAAAATCAAGAGAGAACTTGCAAAGCTGTCCTCACGTAGAGCTGTCATAAGGAGCAAGAGGAAGAAAAACAAAATTCCAGTGGTTGCTGTTGTTGGTTATACTAATGCAGGTGCAGACATTCAATATGGTCTTCCATTGATATCTTAATAGAAATTCAAGTAAAAATGAGAGGCTTCCTTAATTTCCATATTGAAACCTCCAATTTTAACTATTTTGTTTCATATTTATTATTAATAGGACATCCATGTGCAAGCTATGTTGCTGGCTAGTGTAAAAATGGCAATTATAATTATAGCTTATGCCTACAATTATTTCTAGGGAAGACAAGCATTATAAAAAGCCTTACTCATAGTGAGCGACTGCAGCCTGAGGACCAGCTATTTGCAACACTAGATGTCACTGCTCATGTTGGCTGGATAATGCAGCGCATGTGTGTAGTGTTTGTGGACACTGTGGGATTTATTGCCAACATTCCCAGTGGACTTATTGAGTCATTCAAAGCCACTCTAGAGGATGCCAAGGAGGCAGTAAGTACATGGACCAGGCTTAATTTTTTATGACTCAAAATTAATTTTTTAAAAATTTAAACTTTATCTGAGTTCCATCAGCAGCAGCATCATTTTGCTGAATCATGAGTATATAGTTTGGTCATTTAAACAGAACACACCTGAGGCATAATGGATTTGCTCATTCCCTCCAGTATAGTGGTTAAAATAATGTGATTGAAATATTTTTGTTGATTGCAAAAAATGATTTATTTTTCAAATTACCAACTAACCAATCCCATTTTACAGCCTTATAATTAAATTAATAGGTTTTTTCTAAAATGTGTTTCTTTTTTAAGTCCATTTCTGTTATTATTATTATTATTATTTATAAGAATTTTTAAATTCTTATTAATAATAATAATAATAATTCTTAAAAGAATTTTCAGCTGTCTTTTTGGACCCATTGTAATGAAGTTATTGTAAGGCAATACTTCATTATCAAATTATTTGAAAAGACGAGCTATTGTAGAGTGCTGGGCAACAATAGAAAGTAAGAGTTAGTGAGTCAAATTTTAGCTCTTTAAATCTGCAGGATCTTCTTGTCCATGTGTTGGATGCTAGCAGTCCCAACTTGGAAAGCCAGAGATCTGTAGTCATGGAAACTCTTACTTCATTACATTTGCCACAGAGACTGATAGACAATATGATTGAGGTGCATAATAAGTGTGATAAAGTGCCCAGGTATGGATTCCTCCACAACCATAGGAAAACACATTCATGGTCACAAGCTAATAGTATCAATAGATAATAGTAACAATAGTTATGACAGCATGAAACTTTTCCATTTGTATTTAATCTATATACACAGAGGGATTGTGCTAGAGCCTATAACTATATAAATATAATTGGATCAAACTTTGAGTACTGTACAGCCAGTCTGTTAAACATTATAAAGCTTTATTATAATATTCTTATTATGGTTTGTCCAGGTAAGCACAAAAAAATGATAAAGAGAAAAATGTGTTTTTTCCTCTCATGCAATTTCAGTGCCTCAGTTATTTGTTTTAACTAGTGCCTCAGTTATTGTGCACTATATTTCATATCTCCAGCTCCCTACTGTCTCCACTCCCACCCCAGGCTGTATATGTGTCTGCCACCACTGGCACAGGACAGATAGCACTACAGGAACTCATGGAGAAGAAGATAACAGAGACAACTGGCAGAATGGTCAAACATTTCAAAATACCAATGGGAGACTGGCAGCTTAGGTAACACATTGTCTGGTTTAGATTACATTGCATGGCATTCAGGTGGTTTTAAAGACAGTTGCTGTAAATTTGTCTTCTGTGAGGATGTCACAGCAACATGATATAATTAGCACCTGTACAGGACAATAATCTGTCACTGCTAGCTTTTATGAAAGTGCTATCATGTTCTCAGAGTATGATCAATCCACAAACACTGATGGTGTCAGTGAAAATGGACCTTTCAGTTTGTTTGCTGAAGTGCCAGCATTTTTAAATAAATACATACATGAAATGAAGTCCAACCAGCTTACAACACATGTTAAAAAGACCTTACTACTTTCAGTTGGTTGTACAAGAAGTCCACAGTGATGTCAGTAAAGGCAAGTGAAGATGGGGAGCATTTATTAGTAGACGTAATCATCAGCCAAGCAGCATATGGACTATTTAAGAAAATCCATCATACCAGTTAACTATATACAACTGTGGACAATTTTTATCTTCTAGCAGTTCTTTTGTCATGGTTTTTTTTTTCTTTAAGCAATATATAGGGATTTGAAAATTTAAGTTGGCATTTGCACTTTAAAGATACAATGTTGATACCACACTAATTGCAGAGGAATAAATATTTATTTCTGAACAGACAAGCAATTTCCACATCAAGATGAAATAAAAATATGAAGTCAAAAGACATATTTGTTCTCATGTTGACACATTTTGTAAGAAAGTAAATACATGCTGATGTACCGGTATTATGCTTATTGCACAGTTGAAAGATCTATAAGGCACTTAATGCAAAGTGATAAAAATAACATAAAAAGTCAAATATATAAATCTGTAAAAGGAGACAGTGCATACTTGCGTGTTACACTTATTGCACAACTGTTGAATGAGAAATTTCAGGTACTCTTAATAATATCCTTTTGATTCTGAAACAGATAAAATAATACTTTTTTTTTCAAAAATAAAACTATGCTAAACAAATAAATATCAAAGTACACAATTACACCTTTCTTCCCAAACCAATGCTTCTAGATAACAAAAATATTTAAACTGAAATTTATGGCACAAATCAATGACAAATCAAGGTTGCAATCTGGTGAAAGACTACATTAAAAGTGATAAAGCATTAAACAGATGACTTCCCTTAATAAGACCTATAATACATTTATGTAAGAACAATTTGAAAAAGATCACTGCCCCCCTCCATTACCCTAGGCTTAATTTACCTAAAATTAATATATGTATAAAGACTATCTAGGTATTGCATATAATCTGATGCTCAACTACAAGAGATATCACAAATGTCAGACAGGACATAACAACTACAGACAAACTTTGATAACTTTTTGATTTTGGTTCCACATCCATTCTTCATCTATCGTCAAAATCCACCTTGTTATCCATAATCATATATAACAGCAGTAAACTATTAGCTCTAGGCATAAAACATTCCAAGTCACACAACATGTACTGACCATAATAACTTACAGATTAGTTGATTTTACATGACAGAAATTTGTTATCCAATTAGAGCCTCACAGTACTAGTGCAAGTCCTTAAACAGACTTCAAGCAAACAGCTTGGCACTCTAAATTAGACACATTCTCTAACAAACATCATATATTGACCACAACTGATTAAATCAGCTTAATGCACCTGTACACTGGGCAGTTTTGACTCTTTCCAACTGACAGCTTTTTAAGTTTCTAAAGAATTTGACAGCACCAACAACATTTCTGGGGATAATCTGGAGCGTAGACCTTCCTATCGTTACCATACACCCAGAAACTATACTCGCCACCATTCCACTCGTACTTCCACTGTGACACTGGAACAGATTGTAACTGGTGCCTCTGAAAATAAATTAGTGTGCTGGAGCATACTGGATGTCAACTTAACACCTTTCCTTGTAAAAAAGGTTGGAGTGAAATACCCCTCGATTCAGGTCAGGTATTAGTACATGTCACCTTCTTAATTTCAAATCTTCATTTAAGCACTTATAAAACTCTGACTCAGTGGCAATTTTCATTTAAATCTATCTTAACTGAGCCAGCCAAATGTGCATTCAGCATGCAGATTTCGTCCAAATGTGCATCTAGTCATGCAGATTTCATGGTTCTATAGAAAAGCATGTGATGTGGCTTAACATTTGAAATTTCTGCAGTCAACTTAAATCAAACACCACTGAAATTCAGACTCAACAAGTGAGCAATTATGAAAATTAGAAGATGAAGAAGCTGGTCCTAAGTCAGCCAATTGCAAGTGAATTGGCAATAACAGAAAAACTTAATAATTAACGTACAGAGTATAGGCACATTGTGAATGAATCAACTGCAATTTTTCATGTAACTTTCAGTTTATAAGATATCACACAAGATTTCTAAGATGATTAGAGTATAAAAGTGTGTTTCTTAATAACTGCAGTAACATGAGAAAAATCACCTGCATCAATATGGTGGCATCCTGGAACTTTGCATTATGTTCATCACACAACCTTTGGGAATTCCTGCACAGTTCACGTTCTGGGAACTGGGATATAGGCCACACCTGGAGAAGAAGGATGAAGACAGCATTATAGAGGGGTTGCTTATTGTGTTAGGTGTGACCACTGATTGTGTTTAAGGTAAATATTCTCTAGTGTGGCTGCTGATTTAATTATTAGTGAAAACTGAATGAATTTAATCATAAAGCTGCATATGTTGACAGCAGATTTTGTTGGGTGTGACTGCTGACTGTATTTCTGATTGTGATGCCAGGGAATTATGTGGTATGAAATGTGACAGTTGTGTTTGGTGAGCTTGCAAGACCAGTTGTGGGCACTACATTTAAGCAAAATGATTCAGTGACAGTGTGAAAATTTTGCAGTGAACCAATTTCAGAACAAATATTATAATGCCAATAGGCCTCCTTTCCTCACTTAACAAGTAATACTTTACAAAAAATTGCAACATCAATCAAACAAAGACAAAATTTTACTATGACATTATGCCAGAATGGTGAATATAACAGGCTATATTAGTGAGGACCACCTCCATTCACATCAGATTTAAAGCTTACATATACACTTATTGGTTGTATTAAATCCAAAGTAATTTAAAATTAAACAATCCATATACCCTTGGTGACGTCTGCTCAAATATGATGAAGCCCTGCACCTCCACCCCTAGCTTCTCTGGCATCTTGGTACGCTCTAGGATATAGTCACTTTTATGATTGGCACTGAAATACAGTTAGCACAAAATATTGATCTCATCAGTCACATGTGACATCAAAAGGATTATTTTCAAACATAAGGCAAATATTTGTTCAGAATGCTTTACCTTATCAATTTGTAATTCAAAACCCAAAAATTATCAAAATAATTTCATCGATGTCATGAGTTGCATCTAACGTAAATGAAGATTGTTAAGGTTGCACTTACAATTCTGCCTTAATTTGAATAAACTGCTTCATCTTCTTGTACCCATCACAACGATGGCACTTAAAGCAGCCATCTTCATGACACTTGGAACAGCTAAAAATAAAAAAGTTCAACATAAAATTCAACTCTATTGATTTCCCTCCACTACCAATACCTTTTAATTAGAAATATCTACTCTTGTAACTAACCTGTCTTTTCCTGACCCTCCACACTGATTGCAGTGTTCCCTCAGTTGGTGGCCATTGAAGTCTGTCTTGGTAGTGTGACCTGTGCCATGACAGTAGAAACATTTGTTATGGCCATGTCCATGACACAGTCTACAGGGGGTCCAGCCACGCCCATGACACAGGAAACAGTCCTAGAACATACAATTTATATTACTTTCAAAAATATCAGATTTTGGTAACTGATCATTAACTGTAATTCACTGTGGCTCTTTCTGCTTATTCCTTTAAGCTCTGTAACGTTAACCCTAGTACAGAAACTTACTGGTAGTTTTTACAGTCACAAAGGAATTTTTTTACATGGTGGTTGTCATTTAGACAGTGCACACCATAATGCTGTCCTAATCCAGATATAGAAATGGGGTGTACTCACTTTTAAGCACCATTTCAACACAATGCTAAAAAAATGAAAATGAGAGCTCTAGACCCAAAAAGAGAAAAAAAATATTCCACAAAACTTTTTCACCGCTGTTGAAAAAAGGGAATTCTGGGAAAAACACAAGCATCATCTCTGCAAAACGTTTCCAACCTCACTCTGTACCTTAATAGAAGTAGTAAATGGCACCACAGCAGTCTTGGTCTCTCTCTGGAACATGGCACTGGGGTGTATCTGAACCTCCCAGGGAGACGGCGGGTAGCCATCTTCTTCTGTGTCAACAATCTCACCTGACGGGATAAAACAACATCTCATAACTTTTCAGTCAATTATATGACACTATCTACCAATGTGCACAAATGTTCTGGGAATAATCATTATTCATTNGACGAACAGACAACTTCCGGTCAAAATTAACAGAATTCCATGAAATTCGAACTTTCGGAAGTTCTGAGCATCTCCATTTCATGAATTTCGGCCAGAACGATCTTTTCCAAATTTAATTATTTTTTACTGTTCGAAATTCATGGCACATTACCGTATCATTAAATATATGGAAAATTAAATTAATGCTATTGATTTCCAGTGGAAATTACTTATCAAACTTGCACATCAGGTAATGAAATCATATAGCAGAAGTTTTTTTCAAATATGAAGATTATATTATGTTGACAAACAGTACAAGTTATTCCAGTTTGTTTATCCAAGGGTGTGCAAATTGACTCACATACCCCATAAAAAGCGTTTCCAAAACCCAAAAACAAAAATTCTGATATCAATCACTGTACAGACCTCTGTAGGGCTCCAGCTCCCATTTAACAGTTCTTTTCTCTGTGAAAGTTTCCAACTTGTACTAAAAAATTGGAAATAAAATCTTCAATACTTTCTAATGATTTTATAACTAAATGGATGTTTACTACTGGTATTGAATTTGATATACTGGGGTATATTGTGCTTCAAAGAAATAATCATCATATGTTGGTATGCAAAAAATACTTTAAACATCCAGCATATAGAAACTGTATTCATACAGATTTTTGAGCAATAAATCCCAGTGCACCTACATGCAAAGCACTGGAAAGAGCAAAATTGGTGATCTTCATTTCTTGTGCTGCAGATTTCCCATAACATTTGTGCTGCCTGCAGTGGTCCAGTAAAGCCTGCTTGGCATCCTCTTCTTTAATAACTGAATTGCTGCAAATGAAAAACACTTTAACTTGTATGCCTTCTGATAAAAAAAGTTTTTGAAAGAAACATGTACAAGTAACCACAAATAATAAGACTTTGACTTAAAAAAGTATTAAAAAGTGAAAACAAATGTTATAATTGTTATATTCTTGATCAAGGGCATAAATAAGACTATTACAGGTGATAAGTATTAGCACCTATAGTATAGCTAGCTTACAGTTTTCTTGAGGATCTCTCAGTCAAGAGGACCATGCCTGATCACTTCTGATACATTCTAATTATTATGTCATGTTTCACTACACATCACCAATGGGAAGGATGCTCATTTCTCCCATTTTTCTATTTTTTAAATGATAACCAACAAAACATTTATATAAATTAACACTTTTCTGAAAGTAAGTTTCCCTTTTTTTATACCAAAGTGCCTGCAGAATATCCATTTCACTCACCCTCCATACTCCTCCTTTGGCTTCTCCCTGGAGCCAACAATGTCTATAAACTTGGGTGGCGGAACAGTGGCCGCATAGGCTTGAAACAGAGGTAATTAAGAACAAGGTTACCAATATGTATAGTAACAAAAGACTTACATATCCATACAATATGAAAAGTTGATAATCAAAGTCTTAAAAATACAGTGATCATCACTCACCATCATCTTCCACGTGAGGCACATACTCGTAACCTCTAAACTTTTCAAACTGGGAAGGATGTGGCACATAATGCTCATTCTCAGACTCGGTGGTGTGCAACACTGACTGAAGTTCTGCAAGACTAGGCTTGAATTTGGGACTCCAGGCTGCAAATATCACAACACAGTTATGTGTAGAATTATAACTACTTAATTTTTTTCCCTTTTTTCTTTTTTTTACTGATAGTCCCCAATTCATCTAAAGATGTTTTTATTTTCATCCTGTTTAGATTAAGTTCAACAACAATTTGCTATATTAATTTGCCAAGCCTTTCAAATTTTCAAGGAAGATTCTTCAGTAACGAAATGGTAATATAATACTTTTTCCTTTTTCTAAAAACAGATTAAAATAAATATAGTCATTTTAACAATATCAACAACAAAATAATAATAATTAAAACAATAATACAGTAAACACAAGCCCAGCCTGGTAACACATGGGTTATGCCTAAAGCTAAATAATGAAGTCGAATAAGACTATGTCCAAAAAAAAAAAAAATGTTCAGCAGATATTACCATAAAGGAAGCCCCACTCCCCCACCCCCAGAAGCAGAACTATACACAAACAGTCTTACTACCACAAATGACTGCAATCAATATGTCAACATTATCCTTACAGCAAATTACAGCTACCTCAAATGCCTCTGTGTTAATTTAAAAAGGCTTAAATGTATGTCTATAATTTACATTACTTAACCCTAACTATTGCAAGCTGCTTTTTGTGGATTACCTGAGAGCAACTTAACAGTCATCAAAGGGGCTCATGTGCATTACATTTAAAGGTTACCTTGCAGGCTTTACAAACGAGTTCAATGATTATACATATGCTCCAGGCTTTTCTTCCTTTAAATGCCAAAATGAAACATTAATATGACATCAACATACTTAAACTCTGAGTATGACTCACCAGACTTGCCGACAATATAATTTTCTCCATAATCAAATGATACTAGTGGAAAAAAAATTGACCGAAATAACCACAACTTGTGGTGTAAAACTCACGGATATTTTCTCCATCTTGAAATCTGACTTGATGCTGATATCCTGCAGTAGGGGAGCCTACAAAACATCATTGCAGGTGACATTAAAATAATTAATACACTACGCACAGAATAATCCAATATGAAACACATAGTACACAGTAAAGCCAACTCCAGTGATATATCCAATATGAGTAAATGTCAAAGCACATGGTGGCATATAACATATAAAATACATAAGCTCTAATAATACTTACACTGGAAAATTTACCACTTTTAGACAAATATATCATTCATTTTGTTTTAAATTTTAATTCAGCAATAATAAATATTACCCAAGAGTTAGCCCATTGATGTACATAGTTTATACATTATATCCCCCTGATATAAAACATACTGCATAACAGAGTGATAATTATATAATACATCAAACCAGGTGATACAACACCTGCAGTATATTAAAATGAGTGATAGTTCATATGAAACCAGGATATATCAAATTAAAAAGATGCCTTTCTATCTTATGATCCTGGCAGTCAAAAGATTTCCAAAGTGGAGATCATGGGGAGGTGATGGGGTGATCAGCTGAAGATCACCAAAAGAAATTGGGCATCTCCATTCTAAAATCTGTCTATATGTTCATGGCAGTAGCATGGAGATGTTTGGTTTCTATAGATTGTTTTGGATAGAAAGCCCCTACAGTCATGTCATTTACAGGAAAAAACACGCACCAATACCCCCAGCTCTTTACTTTATGAAAAAGAGCAAGAGGCATCTGCTTGAAATCAATGCCATTGATTTTCATGAGAGCATGTAATGGTGCTTTTAAAGCCAAGCTCTTACTAGTCCAAGTTTCAAGAGAGTGTAATGATGCTTTTACAGCCAAGCTCCTACTAGAACAGGTTTCACAAATAACGCCTGATTTATCTGAAGACACATTTGAAATGGCCAATTCAAGGTGCCAATCAAGAGTATACTTTAAGTTCTTTGGAGTATAAATAAATAAATAAACTAGAAAAGCTCTCAGAGAGCAAAAACCTCTGCTAAGGCAACTCAGTGCTCATCATTATTACTTATTTACTAATCGATAACTACCAATTTCTAATAGACTCTAATTTAGCATACTAGTAATTCTGACCTATAATAAATATGTTTTTAAAATCTGTCCATAACTTCTTGAGTTAAGCTGTTAACTATAATATTAAACAGACCATCAAAAGCAAAAACATGACCTCCTTGGTGAAATAAATAAATAAATAAATAAATAAGCAAACCATGCAGGTGCAAAGACACATTTCCAACAGGATTATAATGACTAATAATAGACTAATCTGAACCCTACATACATAAACCCACACAGGTACAGTTCAATAATACAGGTGTAGCCATGAATTTGACATTTTCTCTACTCTCCACACTTGTTGGTTGAGTTGGAACTGCAAGCATTATCCTTGCAAGATGCCTCACTCACATTTTTTCTCTTTGCTAAACATAAAACTATTGCAGTATGATATGAAAGAAAAAATAATGCCCGCAAAATGTACAGTTCACCAGTATACAATGTTTTCAATCCATATTTTTCCAAAAGTTGCCTAATTACAACTTGATTGACCCACTATAGCAATTTACCAACAGAAGGACAAGCAGCAAACATTTACCTGAATTTAAGTTGTCCATTTGGCTTGTGTTCACCACGCAGTTATCACATACCAGTAGCTGTTGTCACTATCACACGGAACACATGCGTGACATCATTCCTGTGGTGCCACACTCAGCATCTGACACATCTATTGGAAGCAGATGATCTTTAAAACAAACAGAAAAAAAATCGATAGCAGCACCATGAAACAATAATTTTGAGTACAGTTCACTGGATCAGTCTGTAACAATTATTGACATTGGTGCTGCCAATATTTCTAGTGCGGGAAAATTCTATATTTGTGCCCCAAGCATAGGTGCATGCATGCACTGTAAGCCTATTATCCTTGATAGAGATAACCTGCCCCTCCTAGGCCTGTACAGGGAAAAATTAAAAGAGAGAAAATCAATCACAGCCGTTGAAATAAAGTACTGCATAAAAGTTCCTTTGGACTGGAAAATATCACCTAAATGTCTTTAGCAGTGTTTTGAGAGTAAGCAATATATTGCTATAGTCTTTAATGAGTACTTTTCCTGCAGCAAAAAGTTAGGGTGTAGCCAAAAGATTTAAGTGGGCATACACTTACATATTTAACTTACAGATCATACAGATGTATTAAGTTAAGGCAACAAGATAACAAACATATCTATAGGTCAGGAAAAAGATGAAATCAAAAGATGAAAGAAACTAGCACCATGCTAAGGACGTCTTATTTTTTTCTGTATAAAATCACCTTGAATATGTAAATACCTTATACTAGGTAAATACTTCCGGCATACTTGCACATAATACTAAGCTTCATAAAAAAAGAATAATTTTTAATTATTAATTTACACACCAACATATATCATCATGCCAAAAATGTATATTGCATCAGTTTTCACCTGATATGACCTGATGGCCCTACATTGAAAATCTAATGCATAGACTATCGTTAATTTTGCACACTGTTTGATCACTATAGATTGTGAGGAAAATAATAATAAATCAGAATAACGATCAGTTATTGATCAGTTTTTGTTGTTCGTGCAGTCAGGTGTGAAGGTCAGCTGAAGGCATGAAACAGTTCCATTTAGTTTGGTTGAAGTTTTGTAAGACATCTCATGTATATGAACAAAGAAAAGGAAATTTTGGGCATTTTTTTCTTACTTTTTTTTTCTTGCTATTTTTTTGAGAGGGGGAGGGGGTGAATATTTGTCCCTTCCTAATTCCCCAATATGTTATTAATGTTAGCCTATAGGTCAAGTGTATAAAGCTTTAGGGCAAAATTGTATCAATTTAATTTTACCATAATTGCCTACATAAAAAATTCTTTAATTCACTTTACTTTACTTTACTTATATCACAAGCATTTCTCTCTGTTTGAGTAAATCGTAAACCAGAATTGAAACTGTGCTCATTCCCAGCTCCTATAATTGTAACATATTTCGAGTGTCTTTAACATATATAGACCTAAGGGTTAAAAATCAAGTTAAGCAACTTTTTACTAATTTTTAAAAATACAAACTGTAACCTCTTAAAAATGGCACGTACGGGTACATAGTAAATGGTATGTTCCACTTCAATATCTTTTGTTCTAAATGAGGCTTATTAATAATCATACATGTGCATATGTGTGGCTATCTGTGCACCAAATTCCAAGTATCTAGCATTATTAGAAAAACAAAAACATGAGTGGACCTTAATAACGTAATAAATATTTACCACTGGCAGTACTGTATGTACTGCAGTAGGCTAGCTTCTGAAGCATCAAGAATGAAACTACGAATTTTTTCATTTATCATTAATTTATTTCTTACTTGGAAACACATGCAGGTGTTCATTTGAATAGTATACTTACTGCATTTTAAAGACTACCAATGATTACAAAACAAGTCTGAAATACAGAAAAGCCTGCTGCAATGAGCGGCATATGCACTTCACTTGCCAAGATGCTGAAACTCTCTAAATATGGAGGTAATAATCGACATTGTTTATAGAAAAATGGCAGCATGCAAGGAGCTAAATCCTCGGGAAAATTTTATCCGAGAATTTGAGGAATGGCAGGCAGAAAATGCCAGCGAAACCATATTTCTGTTAGAAGTAAGTATGTGATTCAGTCTTTGCACCAATAATGAATAGTTTTTAACAGCGTTTGGAGGTAAGAGTTATGATGTAAAAGAACGACGTCAGCTGATTTGACTTTTGTCATTCTTCCTGAAGAGTCATTCACGAGTAAACTGACAGAAAGTACAAACTGCATATCCCACAGCTTACAACCACACATTATCAAAACATATAAGTATACGATGAACACCCCTTTTTATACATTTTTTCCGTTTTATTTGCTAAATTAGATCCACTTCAGTTTCCAGTTTTGTTGTATTAATGGGTTTCAACTTTCATTTCGCATGATTAGCCCCCTCCCCCTCCCCCACATCCCAACCACCCTTCTTCTGAAGGAGCTTCATATTCTTGGTGAGAAAAGATGAATATTTTGATTCATGTCCCACAGTTTATCCCATTGTTTTGGGGCTTAATGCCTAGCCAATGACACTGATGTTGATAGCTCGAAAAATTTTATCTGATTGGTAATTCTAGGTCTGCAGGTAAAGAACATACTGTAGATTGTGTATTTATTTGAAAAATGTGTTGCTACAGCACATTTTGAACAGTCTTACCTTCTTCTTTAAAATCTGAACTAGTTAAACAAATACTTAATTACCTTAGTATTTAAGAATTGTTCTTGTGACAAATTCTGTAATAATACCTGATCTTTAAGTTAACACTAATGCCCTTTTTTTCAAATTTTAGAGTGGAAAATAAGAGATACAAGTTTAAGAAATATTTTATGCAAAAATATAATTAGTTTTTTATTTTAATTTAAGAAAATTAAATAAATGTGGAAGAAAAGATATAAATGAAATGTGAAAGAAAAGCTGATTTAAAGAAGAATACAAATAGCTAGGACATTTGAAATTATTATAATGAAAACAAAGAATCGTAAGAAGATCCTGTAAATAGCATTTTTAAGGAGGATTTGAACATAATTTTTTTCCCTATTCGTTTAGATAATACAGAAATAAACTTTGTCATGTCATGAGATAAGCAGACACATCAAAAAAGCATCAGGGGGAATGTGCTTATATGAGCTGTTGACATAACAGCACTTTTAGAGGTGAAAACTAATATTGATTTCAAACAAACTCCCTTACCTGAACAGCCACATGTAGCAACACTGTTTTAATGCCTATTACATCACAACAATAAGTACTGCTTGTAATACCAGGAAATTCTCATGAAAGGCTAACTTCTTTATTTAATAAAACATTGTTATTAAGGGCTTTTATCTTGTTCAAAAAGGTATTTATCCAAGTGATGGCACAGGTTGTAGTTTACACCCTAGTCGTCCAAAAAGCCAATTTTCATGATAATGTCTTTAAAGTTAGTTACTGAGTTATCTCACACCAGTTTACTTAGCAGCAAAGTTGACAATAAGGGCTTAAGTACTCTGTGTGCGTAATTGGGGTGGTGGGCAAAAAATAATAATATATAAATTAATAAATAAAAAAGTGGACTTCTTACTCCTAAAGTATTTATTTTTATTGCATTAATTTAAAGATTTTGAAAAAAATTTATATAAAAGGAATTGTAGGCCTGCTATAATCTATCAAACTCCTTAATACTTAAAGGCAGAATATTTTCTTTTGTAATAGAGATGGACAGTTCATCAGCAGGTGTTGATTGGTATGGATAATGAAGTGAACACCTGGGTACACATGATGTCACAGATCTGAGTAATATTATATAGCTATTAATAGAATCATTGAGCATGTTCTTTGTGTCATTTTAGTTATGCCTGGGCTCACACCTGCAAAGTTGGTAACTGAATGTTAATATGAAGCTTTTCATAACAACAGGCAATGCAGTTGCTAACGTGGGTTTAAAAATGAGTAGATACCAGGTTTCTGAAGAAACTTTAAAGACATTTTGAGAGACCTTTTTCTACGTGGTCTTTTTTTGTCTCATTGGCTTAAGATGTACAACTACAGCTGTAGATGAGATGAGTATATGTCAGTAAATCAATAAATAAATGCCATGTCCTTTGGTGTGAGAATTGTTCTTCATTTAGCTTGAAATGGTAGCAAAATGCTAGGTCCCTACTGTCAAGAGCATAAGTTGTCAAGACAATAGCTCTGCAGCAGATATAACAAGTTCTTTGCCAAATTGCTACTAATAAATGTTCTCAATAAGAATAGAGCTTTGGTTTCAATCTATCATCATTACTTATTCAAGTTATTGAAATTGTACAGTGCATGCTATAGGATTGTACCTTGTGGAATTATACCAAAAAGAATTGAACCTTATACTGTAGATAATAAAAAAAAAGTGAGTCATACATGTAGCTCTGTTGATTTGAGTATCAGTACATCAGAGTTTTGTGTTACAGACAGGAAAAAACATTGTGATGACAAGATTAACCTGAATATAGGAAGATTCTTTTTCCTTTCATATGTAAAGACCTTATTTACATGCACATCATATTACAGGAGGAGTTGTAACTTTCTAGATAGTAACAGTTTTATTAAATTTTACAAATCTAACTTGTCAGATTTTTTTGTGTGTGTGTTTATGTGTCATCACTAAAACAATTTTTCCACTATAAATTAGGTTTTATATTTGGCTATATGTTCGATTGTGAAAATTACTGTTGGCAGTATTATTGTACCACCAGCGTTAGCGCTGGCGGTACACATGGTTTCGGTCTCGTCCGGATCGTTCCGCCGGCTCCGCCGGCTCCGCCGGCTCCGCCGGACGACTACCGTTACCGCTTCTCCTCCTAGACGGTAAGGCCCCCCATACCCATCTCATGGATTTAGGTCACCTATAATCTCAACTCGTTCCACGTAAAATTTGGGCTTTGTCGGTATTGGGGTCTGGGTGTGGCACTCATTGCAATGCACCCTTGTCCAAAAATGGCAAAATTAAATGCTAATTATCTACCCTACGGAAGGAGTTACGGGAAAAATNTTATTATTATTATTGATAATTTGTGGGCTGTGTTTCTTCAGATCCAGTGCAATGAGGAGGGGACTGTGGTGCTGTGCTTCCTCCTGGATGGAGAACATGAATTTAGACTCACATGTCCACAAGGTAGGACTTTTTGTATGAGCAGAATGGTAGTGTCAGGATAGAGCTGGGGTACTTGCATGCATGTAATGGTATATATGCATGCACGCGCACACACATGCACGCATGCATGCACACACGCATGCACGCACAGAGAGAGTTCACATAAAAGGAGATCACATGAAAGCGTTCATGATCAAGGTATCAGTTATGTTCCTCAAGACATACAAGAACTAATCTGCCAACTTTGGGACACTTTTTTCATGCTACTTTGTGTCATTTAAAAGAAATAAACAACTAATTCATGGTTGATGGAATCTTTTTTCCACTGATAAAATCAACTAGACCAGTGTGAGCATCAGATACGTTTCTGGGATATGGTCAAATTTTCTGCTCTCAATATTGTTATATTGCAAAGCAATTACAGTAGAACTTGGCACATATTTCCTTGTATTGCATGTAATTAGGTGTCACCTTGGTAATTGTTGGAGATACATCCTCTCCTTTGACACTTTACCTTTAATTTGATAGAACTCAGCAAATTTATTTTCTTGATTTGGGATCAACCATAGAAATATAGAGATTACATAAGAATTATGTGTCAGTATACCTTATGAATGCCTAGTTGCAAAGAGATGCTGAATAATACCTGACAATATTTTTGATGAGTTTTGAAGCAATTTACCACATTTCCACTTGGAAAAAAGAAAAGATAATCTTTATTTCTCTCTTGACAGCATTTTTTACCTTTTGCTAAACCATGCTTAACATCTTATTCTGAGATACTAAGTACAAATCCTGTGTTCCTACAGACTTAAGCTGTTATATAGATAATGATACTGTAAATCATTGCAGAGTATCCAGACCATGTTGATCATTTCTTCGTGGAGGCTGGACCATCTGTTAAAATCTGGGCCAATGCTTTAAATGAGGTAAGAATTTCTTGTTATAAATATAAATTTTTTTTGGCATGTGTAGAAATTAAAGGGAACAAACATGTTGTAGAAACACTTCATAATATATCTCATATATGTGTCTGAATATATAAAATTATATGCAATGCCGNTGTGCATAGTTATTTCCTGCTTTTTGTCTGTACATTTGACAGCTTTGCTGCCTTGTTTAAAACATAGAGATGTTTCTTGATGAGGGTTCCAAGTCTCTTCAACTTTTCTGATTAAAGGTACATGCAAACTGAGCATCGGTGGAGCATGGATTCCCAGTAACACATGTAAACCACTTCTATTAGATTCTTATATGACTCAAATAAATTCGACATGCCAAGGGATAAACTGAATAGATCACTCGATCAGCCATAGAAGACCTTTAGACTGCTACTTTCTTAAAATTTTTGGTTGTAAATTTAACCTACTTTCGTGACCTACTTTCCTGCCCCACTGACATACAGCTTAGAATGCCAGCAGAAAAATCCGTTCAAACATCATTTTCGAGTAAAATTAAACAAATGCCTTTTGGTAATTCTCTTAGTTATACTACTTGAAACTATGTGCTGGCATTTGGTTGGTTTTTGTGACAAAAAATTGACTTTGTATGCATCTTTAAGTAATGCCCAAACAGTAGTGAAGTATTGTCATCCTGAAGTATATGCATGTATTTATTAAGTATTTTCCTATAAAGACCTGTGACCAGGCTTTAATTTTTTTTTGCACTTTGATATGCTTTACAGAATGTGAATATATATCTTTGAAAAGGACAAAAATTCTAGATGTCTTGTCAAAACATGCTGTGACTGGTAATTTATTTTTGCATTTGTTTTTTTTTTTTTTTCTTTTTTTCAGTATTTATTGGACACTCCATCACAACTGTCTCTGAAGCAGGTGCTCACAAAGTAAGTTTTCAGAGTACTTTGTGGCATATTTGGTCAGGCATACAACAAAATTAATTTATATTTCTGACATGATATTTTAAGATAAACATGCAATGAATATTACCGATTATTAAAAAAGTGATGTTCATCATTATGATTTTCTGCACATTTACAGTGTAAACTTTCGACACAGAGGATTCACATTATAACTAATAATACATGTACATCACATTCAGAGCTGAAGCATTGTATGGCAGTGAATCAAAAAGAAGAAAAGTTGTGGAGGCAGCATCAGAGGTGACTTTCAACTACACCATTCTGTGTTGAAGTTTTTACTTAAACTTTTTTATTCAGAAATTAATTAGTAACAAGTGGTAATATATGTATGTGGATATTAAGGAATAATTATTTAGTAATGACATTTACAATAGAATGACATATAAATGGTACTTGAATTTTCACATTAAGTGACCAAAAACATATTTCAGGATGAAATAAGCATGGGAGAAGATGAGGATGATGAAAATGAGGTATAGAATGCAATATACAGCATTTTTAAAACATTTTAATCTTAAAAGAGCTTTTAGCTCAGTCAGTTTTTTCTACTTTGAGTGCATACGTATATGTACAAGTTCCTCTCTTTTTGCCCTTTTTCATTACATGGATAAAGCCTGGTTGAATCCTTTGAATTGTCTGCAATTTAAATCCACAACAGTTTCAGTTTTATGTATGTACGTGTCTGAAGGTTGCTTTCACTGGTAATCATAGTTTTCTGTAAAGTAATAAATGTTGATGGAAAAGTAATATCTTTGAACTATTATAGTTACCTTAACAACATTGAAATCAATATTAGATGCTGTGGATAACACATCTGAAGAGCCTGTGATGCTGAGCGTGTTACAGCTTTTAAATCAATATTGATGAATTGTTTGTTATTTTGCTGCTTTGATGTTCAGGAAGCCATGTATTCTGATGAGGATGACAGTGCTTTTACCACGGAGTGGGAACTCAAAGTGGCCAGGATAAAGGTGACTTTCAACCGCACTAGTCAGCACTGACATTTCTTTGAAGATATGTTCTAAAGCAATTAGAACAAATGTGTAGTGTGAACTTTTTACAAAAAGTAAAGGTGTAATTAAGTAGAAATACAAGTTGGTGTTCAGATAACTATGGGCTCACAGATACTAGTACATGTACTTTTTGTTAGTTGCTAAAATGGGTTTGCACTGTATTCTTGGAGACACAATTAAAGAAACAAAAATTAGATTCTTTTTGCCAATTGAATTGATTGGTAACAATTTTAGTTTAATTCGGCATATAAGTCTTTGTATTCCTGCATGTAGTAACTAACATGCTCCCTCTTTGTTAACAGAAAAGATGGGCTCAGAAGGAAGCAGAAGTTAGAGCTGAAATGAAAAAAGCTAAGTTAGGACCTGGAATGACAGAACTTGGGGCACTTCAGGGTAAGGAAGTCACTGCTAATAAGCTGAACCGAATGGGCATCAGCGTAGTGTGAGGATAGTCAGAACTATTGGAACTTTTAACACTGCAGTACTGAGAATCAATTGGTACACTGTTATATTGAAGAGCCTTTGTTATCCTGAAAATGATTTATATTTGTTATACTACAAATCCTTAACATTTATGATATAAGTTGAGTATACTTAAGTATTATCACGGTGTCACTATAGTGTACTATCAGTGATGTAGGTATAGGTTCCATTTTTTCTACATTATATAAATGTAATGTTCTTTGTGTTCACTATAAATTGATAATTTTTGTTTACTGTAACACTTCAGATTTTATATTATATAAATTATACAGTTTTGGTTCACTCTAAATATAATTAATTGTGTTTAATACAACTGCTTTAAGTCCTACTATGCATCCTGATTTCAAAACCATACAGTCTTGTTATTCATGACCCTTGTATTCCCCAGCTTCAGGACAGGAGAAACAGCAAGCCAAACAGATCTTCACTAGCAGTGCAGCCTCAGGAATACTGACCAATGACCTGGTCAAGATCCTGGAGGAGGAACAGAATCTTGGCTTTTCAGCTGACCCTATTGATGACAATATCTACCAGTGGTGTGTTAAGTTGTACACATTTCAGGAAGACAGGTAAGAACTTTTCACCGGGGCATGTTTATAATCAATTATAATTTTGTTTTGGAATTAATCTTTTGGTAGAAAAGGCGCTTTGATGTACGTTTTTGGGACATGGGAGGTATTTGTGTTTTACAAGGTTTTCATATTATCAAATTGACATATATTTTCTAAACATTCTAATGAAAGTTTTGCACTGACATGAAGATGGTTTATTAATTTTATTATAGTGATCTTGCCAGAGAACTTGCAGAGATTTGTGCCAGGGATGGTTACAACTACATAGAACTGCAGATGGTAAGATGTTCTTTATAAACTAATATTGTATAGTTACTGTAATAAAAAAAAAACATTTAATAATTAAAGTATAGTGAATTCATGACATTAGTTAATCTTTTTTTCGCATGCACGTATCATCAGACAAACTCTTTGACATGTTATATTTTTATATTCCTTTTAGGACTTTGCCATAGACCTATATCCATTCTACCCACCCTTGGTGAAGGTGATACGCCCCAGGTTGCAGGTAAGGAAGTTATTGTTGGGGGTATCCATTCTATTTAACCCTGGTGAAAGTGAAGGTAAGGAAGTTGTTATTGTGGGTGACATGTCAGGGAGTGGCTGTCCCTTAACAAGTACAATGTTGTAAAGGAGTGCTGTACTGGTAAACTAAATATCGGTATTGTTGTATATATTATGATCCCTTGCCTCATACAAAAAAGTTCATTAATGATTATAATTATTGATGATATTGATATGCCAGTGGATATATAACTAGTGGTTACAAAATTTTATGTCACATGCTGTAGGGTTCCATGATGCAGAGGGTAACTAACATGGAGATGTTGAAGCTTTCCTACTGGAATCCTACCAAAGATATGAAAAGTGTTCTAACTGATATCAAGGATTTCTTACAACAGTGGGCACGGTCAGTATAGTATTTGTGTGTTTGTGGACTCATGCTTGCTTCATTGTGAGCAGAAAGCAAAAAGAACTAATTTAAAGCTCACTTGACATTGGAATAGACAAAATTAAGTATTTTTGAGCTGATCTACAAGATAAGTTTACTGTGATAGTTTGATGTTGTATTTTAGGCTGGAAGTAAACAGTGAGAGGAATGATCCCAAGAGGTACCCATCTGGAGCCTATGTAGATATAGAGCATCATTTACTCAGGCTGGCCCTGGTAAGTTATTTGGAATATTAAATGATAATGGGCACTTAATGTTTTTTTTTTTTCATTCTTTGAAAATACAGTTTTTCTGAGAGAGATTTTTGATACCTTTTCAAGAGGTACATGAAACCAGACTGAGTATACATGTATTTCTTCTTTTTGACATTGTTGATGAATTTTTTTTACAATTATTGCAACTGAAGTACTACTTATTTCTTACTTTTATGTGTAAGTAAAAGGTATATTAGCTCTTGCTTTTGTGGGAATTTGAAATGCAGTAGATAAGTGTTGATGTAAACATTCTGTCGTACTGAGTAGGTAAGTGAGGTCAACCCCAGAGCTAACTTCAAGTATCTGCTGGATGAAGACAAAGTAATGGAGATGAAGGCAGCTCCAGCCATTGTCATGAAGGTTAGAAAAAGTCTTAGTAGAATTTCTTTAGTTATGTTACACCTACAAGGTGCCTTCAGGTAAGGATAACATTGTGACACTTAGTTTAACCATATTGCTAATTATTCAGTTTTATAGATTATATTCTTTATTAATGTAATTCCTCATGGAAAAATCATTTGCTACTAAATACGAAAAAGAGATGATCTAGACTACTTAACAGCTTATGTATTGAAGGAATGCTGACTGCATTACACTCTATAATTAGGACCAGAAAGTGAAGAAAACAGAAGAGTTCTGGGCCAAAGGTGTTGGTTATGGCCACAGCAGACGACCAGGTAGTAGTAAATAGTTTAGAACTGATGATGAATTGTGTTACTTCTCCAACCACTTATATCATGACAATTGTCTTATTCAGCAGTTTAAATGGGTGTGTACATTAGTATTGAAATGTGGTGATGACATATCCGGTTAGAAATAAGTTCAATGCCTAATGAGGTACACGGTGTAAATCAGAATAAGGTGAATCCACACCAGACTACATTTGTGGTGAAAAGTTGAAACATACCCCAAATTGTCTTTATCAGGCAATTTATTTCAATTGTAAATTAATGTAGTATTACTTCTGGTAATTGTATTCACCTGTATATATTCAACTTTGTTTCAGACTGGGATATAAAGGCATATTTGGCAGCAAGGGCAGAAAAAGACAAACAGGTTTGGCATAACTTACATTATATTTTTCATGAGAAATGGTAAGAATGTCTCCAGTGTGCTATGAAACCCAGTGATGATGTACAGATTCACTTTAACCACAAGAAAATTTGTTTGATTTTCAATGATGGAATGAATCTTCCGTCCTTAATCTGAGGGTGAACATATAAACATCTGTTTTTAGAAAGGCACGTAACATACTACAGTGTTTTATCTTTTATGACCTAATCTAATTTAAAAACCTGTTGCTGTGTTCAGATCGAGTCAGTCCTGCACAAAATCCACCACGAGTTGAAAGTACTGTATGCACAACATGCACCCCAACTGAAGCCTCGGGTCAGGAAGCATTCCCGCCAGCAGCCTGTGGACCACCACAACCAGTCTGTGGACCCAGTGGAGGATATGTATAATATACTGGAGGGATCAGCACTTATTCCATTTCTAGAGGTAAATGAGCTACTGTTTATGGCAAAATTGTCCCCTTCCTGACTTGATATTTTTTTGGCTTGCTTATTTTGAGAGGTGACAGTCGAGTAAATGGAATTCTAGTCTTTGTTGATAAAATGTAGATTATTGTTATTTATTCAGGCATCATGTGAATGTGCACATGTGAGAGCACACACACACACACACACACACACACACACACACACACACACACACACACACACACACACACACACACACACACACACACACACACACACACACACAATTTTTATTATTACTTCTAATTCCTGATCGTGGTTTTAGAATTTGAACACTTTTAAATTGTTGTTAAGATAATTGTATTTATTTTTTAGCAATACATGAAAGCAGACTCCTTCCTGGAAATTAACAGGCATACTTCGGTATGTAGTCCATCTCAGTTACTTGTATGCTGTTTGATTGCCATAGCAACTGCTCCCAACCTTGATATAAAAATAAGCTGCTGTGTTGGCATTCCCTTGCTTTTACATGTGGTTCATTTTCCAACAAGCTGTAGATTATCTTTATCATTTAGCATCAACAAAGTGTTAATATGTACTCAAAATATATATGTTTTTTAGAAAATGTCTTTTTATGTAGAAGTTTTCAGACCTAATGACACCTAATTGTGATTGTACACTGTTACTGTTATTTTCAGGTTTACAAAGTGATAGTAGATATCATCAAGGAATTAGGTGAGTGTTAATGATTGCAAGAGAACAAATTTTCACTTTCCACTCCTGATTCATTTTTTTTTTTTCGTTCAAAAATGATTAAACATTAGAACCTCTTGACACTCTTTAATGCTAGATTCTATATCTTTGAGTTTTATAAGCATGATTTGTAGAAAGCATGATGTAGTGCTGTCCTCTTCTTCTCATGATAAAGATTGAATACCTAAAGAAATTAAAAATATGGGAAAAGGTCATTAATGTGCCAGGAAGAATCACTATTCCTTGTGTGTTTTGCAGCCTTGCAGCCCCAGTTGGTTCCTTTGTTGTGGGTTCTACCAGACCAAGCTGCCTCAGTGTATCACCTGTTGGAAAACTTAGAGAAAAAGGTATATATGCCTTGATATGCAAGAATTAGTTTAGTTGACCAATGGCAGATATATATTTGATTACTTGGAGAACTTTTGAAAAACTCCAATTATGTATAGATGAAAGTTTTTAAGGATATAAGTTATTGACACTGTGAAATAGAGTTTGTCATATTTTTGTGAGGACAGATCAACACTGTGTGTTTATATTGTGTTCCCAGGCCAATGTGTTACTGCAGCATGTGTGCAGGGCAGGCAATGGCTGCATTCCACAGGCTCCTAAAGGAAAAGAGAAAGAGAAGAAGAAAAATAAAGAGAAAAACTCCAGCCTCCCGTCCACGTCCACAGGGACCAGTATTGGTGAGAATAGACCAGCTGAGGAGAAGTTGGCAAGGTAACAACTCAAACAATTTGTAACTGCACTTCTAACTGCAATGAATGCAGAATGTGTCTGAGCTTAAAAAACCTTTAACAAAGAAATACAGAATGATAATAAATAATTGCAGAGTTAAATGTCTAGTTTGCTGATGAATTGAACTTATTATTTTTATGTTTCAGGGAATTTATCAATCTATACAAGGATGTAACAGGTTAGTAAAATCTCTCTATCTCTCTCTCTCTCTCTCTCTCTCTCTCTCTCGTTAGTTGTATGTGATATAAATGATATCAGTAGCGTCAGTAGTTGAATGTGGTAAATGATATTAGTAGCATCAGCTAGTTGTATTTGGTAAATGATATCAATATTGTCAGCTAGTTGAATGTGGTAAATGATATCAGTAGTATATCAGCTAGTTGTGTATGCATGGTAAATGATATCAGAAGCATGAGTTACGTAGTTGAATGTGGTAAATGATATCAGTAGTGTCAGTGTACAGCCTGTTGATATGGTTGCAGACTCCCTGCGGCGTTCTGGAGTGTTCAACAGTGTGGAAGAGGAGGAGGAGGTGATACAACAGCAGCAGCATCAACAGCAACATCAGCAACAGGAGGGAGGAGACCCGGAGATGATGGATATTACTATCACTTCCGTTGCTAATAATGAGGTTTGGGTTACTGTTGTAGCAACTACATTTTACTTGTTTTAGATACAATAATTACAGAAGCATACAGCAGTAAGAAATAATGAGGTAAATATCAAATTGAAAATGGTGAAAATTGCTAAAAAATTATTTTTTTTACATTTCATTAATGTGATATTTTTTAATGTCTTTGTGTTTCTACATTCCAGCAAATTGCATTGGAGGAACAATATAAAAAACTTCTGAAGGATCTCTTGTTTGACAGCTGTGAAATGGATTGTAAGTTCATATTCATACTGTGTTGGAAAAGTTTTTATTGTAAATTTTGAATAGAGTGTATAAAAAGCAAAGTTAAAATTAGGTAAGGTTCGAAGAAAAATCTACAAATAGATATTTATCAATGTCTTTATGTTTATAGAGGCTGATATACTGTAACTACTGTCAGGAAGACTATTATTTAACAATTCACTGTCATTGGTAATCAAGGCCCTTTGTAGAAGGATCTAAAGGTCATTTCCCTCGGGTAAAACATATTTAATCTCTTCAGAGGCAATTTACTTTTTTATCATCGTTACACCAAATACTATAAAAAATCTGTTTTACAAAATGTAAATAGTACGTATATCTTTGTAGTGGAAGGCCCTAGAGCACACCATTATACCAGTGAGTTCAAGAAACAGCCAATCCCAAGCCAGTCTCAGGTAACATTTGAGGTCTAATGATGGTTATGATCAATAAGGTGTCCAACTTTTTCTAATTAAGCTTGCGTTTTCGTTGTTCCTGATAACTTGCAAACAAGTTCACATTTTTTTCTACAAATGCTTGATTATTGTGCATAATTGTAAAATATGTTTTTCTGGTTTTATTCCATCCATATATTTTGATAGATTTTAACATCTTTGCTGTTGCTGTGATATTTCAGGTTTTCAGGATAGCCCAGGAGCTCACCTCTTTGTCCACTTCACTACCGCTGGAACTTTCTTCAGGAATTCTTGTTAGATCTGTAAGCTGATAAACTTACTGGAAAAATTCATAGTTAAAATAGAGAATCTGACTGGATTATTTTATGATATTAAATACAGTTGCTCTGAGGTTTATGAAAATGTTTAAATCAAACTCATATTCAGTATCTAAAATTACATAAACACAATTTCTCATGTAGAATGAAACAGATATAGACAATAATGAAAGAAGAAACTTGATTCTTCTTTCAGGATGATGAAAAGCTTACATTAATGAGAGCTCTAATAACTGGGTAAGTATCCTCATGTTTGGTGGTCCATTTTAAAGGTTATTACAATGTGCTAAAATTATTTTCTAATTTAAGTGATTGGCTGGACATAGCAACTATGTAATGAAAATTTTAATATCATACTTGGTGAGTATACAAGTGATAACATTGGGGGCAGTTTGGCTCAGTTAGTAACCTTTATTTATGTGTTGTACTTTCAGGCCAGAAGGCACACCTTACTCTGGAGGCTGCTACCAATTTGATATTTTCTTTCCACCATCATATCCTAAAACACCACCTCTAGTCAATTTACAAGTTAGTATCAGCAACGTTTCGTGTATATAGTTTTACTTTTTAAATGGTGTAAATTGCAATGACTATTGTTTTTTTTAAATAGATATATAAGAATTTCAGACATTTTAACAAAGTTGTATAAATATTTAATTCTCTATATAAGAATTTCAGACATTTTAACAAAGTTGTATAAATATTTAATTTAGAGAATTTGGTACTGTGGTCTATTTTTCTTTGAAGTATGTGCTGTTGTGTTTTATTTTAGACAACAGGTGGTGGAACTGTGAGATTTAATCCTAATTTATACAAGTAAGTTTTTATGAGAAATGTAAATATTTTTTTTGATGAACAAAATGACAACAGCATAAAACAGAAGATAAGCTTAGTTCTTTATGTGTTAGATGTTCTACAATATTAAGCTTGTAATTATTTCAAAGCAGTATGCTACTGCACTGTAACTAATTTTAACTGCCAACATTGTTAATATATATTTGAAAAGTTGTTGACCTCATATGACATTCCATTGACCTCATATAACAGTACTCTGTGTTGCTGTTTCCACAGTTGTGGCAAGGTGTGCTTATCTCTGCTGGGGACTTGGGAAGGACAGCAAGGAGAACAGTGGAACGAGACCACATCCACTGTGCTGCAGGTGTTAGTCTCTATACAGTCCCTGATCCTGGTGCCAGAACCTTACTTCAATGAGCCTGGCTATGAGCAGGAGATAGGGACAGATGTAGGGAAGAAACACAGTCAGGAGTATAACCTAGGTAATGTCTTGCTTGGTCATCGTGTATAATACGGACAGTAGTTTGAAGGAGACAAATCTAGATACCATCTTCTTACCACAGGTCTGCCCAAAGTGGATTGTACTTAATAAAATACTTAATATATAATTTAAAAATAACAGTGATAATAACTGCGAGTTGGACTAAGTGCTTCTAGTGTTAAATTTACTTCCAGATGTGCAAATCAACAATATCAAATATGCCATTATTGCCCAACTGCACAACCCAAGCCAGGGATTTGAAGATGTGATTAAAACTCATTTCTACCTCAAACGAGAAAGATTAATACAGGTAAAGCATGATTTAATATTTTTATACTGCAATTTATATTGCACCTTGTTTAATTGTACCACCAGCGTTAGCGCTGGCGGNTTTAAAATTCAGGTGTGAATTACAGTGCTATTATAAGCATTATTTATTATTGCATCAAAATTGACAAAATGACCTTTTTTGCATCTTTATTTTCTGTTTTTTGTCTGTACATTTGACAGCTTTGCTGCCTTGTTTTTCTTTTTTGATGGACAAAATTACAACGGCGTAAATCATAGCAGATAAGCCGTTATTGTTGTCTGTGTGTTAGATGTTCTACAATATTAAGTTTGTAATTATTTCAAAGCAGTATGTTACTGCACTATAACTAATTTAAACTGCCAACATTGTGAATATATATTTGAAAAGCTGTTGACCTCATATGCTTTTGTGTTGACCTCATGTGGCATTCCGTTGACCTCATATAACAGTACTTTGTGTTGCTGTTTCCACAGTTGTGGCAAGGTGTGCTTATCTCTGCTGGGGACTTGGGAAGGACAGCAAGGAGAACAGTGGAACGAGACCACCTCCACTGTGCTGCAGGTGTTAGTCTCTATACAGTCCCTGATCCTGGTGCCAGAACCTTACTTCAATGAGCCTGGCTATGAGCAGGAGATAGGGACAGATGTAGGGAAGAAACACAGTCAGGAGTATAACCTAGGTAATGTCTTGCTTGGTCATCGTGTATAATAAGGACAGCAGTTTGAAGGAGACAAATGTAGATACCATCTTCTTACCACAGGTCTGCCCAAAGTGGATTGTACTCAATAAAATACTTAATATATAATTTAAAAATAACAGTGATAATAACTGCAAGTTGGACTAAGTGCTTCTAGTGTTAAATTTACTTCCAGATGTGCAAATCAACAATATCAAATATGCCATTATTGCCCAACTGCACAACCCAAGCCAGGGATTTGAAGATGTGATTAAAACTCATTTCTACCTCAAACGAGAAAGATTAATACAGGTAAAGCATGATTTAATATTATTATACTGCAATTTATATTGCACCTTGTTTAATTCTGATAAAAGGTCATGTATTGTTTCACAGAATACGCCTATGCCTCCTTATTTACATGATACATGAAAACGGAATAATATTCCAACCTCTTGTTTTAATGTTTTCAGGAAGTAGAAGGCTGGGTGGCCTGTCAGAAGAGCAGCAAGTTAGAGAGAGCGTTCCAAAACATGAAACAAGAACTTCGAAAATTGCAGCCACCACCAAATGTTGCCAATCTGAACTGTAATATAAAGGATTCCCCACAGCAAACTACAAAAAAGATCTGAACAAGAAATAAAGTAATCTGTCAGGCAAAATTACATGGGAAAAGCCTCGGCTCCTTCAGGGGCCAAGGTCTGTTCCGTGTCCCTGTAGGGGGCAGCACAGACACCGTCACGTTGTTGCAAGGGGGAGCCACTGTTGTCAGTCATCACCATAAGAACAGAATTCAAGTTTCTACACATCTATCACTGATGAAATGTGGATAAAACTAGTGATATGTGTAAAAAAGGTTATCTGCAATATGAATATATACACTGTGCAGCTTGAACATACTTAAGCCGAATAGAAATGTACAGTGTATATACCAGACCAGTGATTGTCTTGAACATAAACAATCCCTGTTAAAGTTGGTGCTATAAAAATATTACTAAAAAATATCTGTGTAGATGGCACAAAAATTGTTAATGTGTAGTAGTTGTTTGTTGATGCTGTTAGTATGTTGTAGGACTTCAGAACTGATCATGATGATGGAGCTTAGATTAATACTGCAAGTCTCTGGTCTTGGCAAGCTGGCCCTTTTTACTGTAAGGTGAGTTTTTATTAGGTTTCCCAAACCATTATGAGATTACATTTTGAAATGCGTCAGTAGGTTAAATGCAGAAGCATCAGATTTTAAGACGTTTTACATTATTTATTATATCATTGATGGTTTTAAACAAATGGAAAACAGCTTAGGGGGTTTATAATGGAAGCATGATCATTATTTAATGAAAGAAATTTTTACCAATGTTCAAATAACTAGAAGCAACTGATTTTGTTACAGCAACTATGTAGTGCCAGTGTAAAGATTTGAATTTTCCTATGTTTGTGGGTTGTTTGTTGCCTATAGCTGATATGACAGTTGCTTGTAGATTACCCAGCATGTTTCATTGCACAAACATCTTATGCAATCTACACAACGGGCATTCCCAGATTCATTGAATATTATAAACTTTCTATTCAATATGTATTACCAATTAGTGTGATGTATATATTGGCACCAATATTCTTCTCAAGTTCTAGAACTATAACATTAGTCATCAGATGGCACAGCTAAGGTATAGCACAATATTGGGGGGAGGGGGTATATTTGGACATACACCCACTCATCTTCATTGTGATTGTGTATAATAAAAACAAGATAGCTGCTCCAAAATAAAATTATCCATTGAATTAAGTTTTTCTTCAGGGTTGCCTATTTTATGTATTTATGCAGTTTTCATATTTAGGTATCAGTTCCATTTGTTTTCAGGCATTGTCACATTGCCAGATTTGTTAATAACATGCCCAACAACAAACAAATGTACTATGAGAACTGGAATGTTGCAACCTGCAACCCTATCTGGTGGCTTTCACTTCTATCCTTTGACAAGAAATATTTCCAGGTAATTAAACATTCATGGTGACGAGGCAACATCACAGGAGCTTTGGAACATAAGATTATAATGATAATAAAGCTGGTTATAGCAGTATTGGGTACTTTATTATATGTATACTATGTACATGATGAGAATGTTAAAATGTCAAAACTGTGAATTCATTTAATACACTGTTGTACATCTTAAGAGAGAAATAAAAGAGAAATTGATTCTAAAGTAAAATTGCTGTTTTTGTGTGAATGGTTCTACTACAGCTCAAGCACTCTCAAAACCTAGTCCTTTCATGGCTCTTCCAGCAAGCATTGACCACAGCTTTCAATGACCCTAAGAATGCTGGTGTCAACTTAAAAGAGAGTACGTCCAAATTTTCATTTGGATAAAAAATAAACAAATCTTAGATAATTGGACATCAAAGTTTGATATCAATCTAAGTGGACTTTGCAGCTCATGAAATGAAACTCATGGCCTGAGAGGAGCAAGACCTAGTTTGGCTCTTAGTTCATTAGCTTCTTTAATTTCAAGATCTTCTTTACTAGATTTACTGCTACTTTCAGTCTTTTTACTTCTTTCCTTTGATCTAGACCTAGATCTGTGACTTCTCTTTGACTTCTTGTGCCTTTTATGTCTGAAACATGAAAAGTAGTTTTTTTCCAGCAAATGGAACCCAACAGTGCAAGATCCTAGAAGAGGACCAAATCTTGTCATTAAAAGACTATATTCCAGGTCTATAATGTTACTAGATTTTACCTCAAATATGTTTAGTCAATGCAGAAACAAAAAACCTTTCTACCAAAGCTTTATTTCAACTGCTCAAGTAAATGTATACTTCACAATTGCCATGTTACTTACTTGTCATCCTCGTCTCTGTGCTTGTGTCTGTGGCCTTCAAAAAACAATACAAAATGTGTCAGATATTTCAATCACATTAACTTTCACGGCAGAGTGTCTATAAGCTTATCCATTTTACAGTGAAACATTACATTTATTAGCTTATATTAATTTTCTTGCACAATGAGAACAAAATAATAATAAAACATAAATGAAGAATTGAAGAATTAAGAAGACGTTTAATAGTTATAAAAATGTATATTTTTTTCTTGGAAAAAATACTGAGCATGATAATATAATCAATAGAAAAATGCACATTAACCTTTATAATCCTTGTCAAGAGAAGACTTACTTGGTGATTTGTGTCTTCTTTCTCTTGATCTGCTTCTTCTTCTCCTTTGATCTCTATCTCGATCCCTAGACCGTGATCGCCTGTAGAAAAATTAAAAAATATGTCAATGTAATAATATTTGGTGTGTCATTGCATTAGGTGTTCTATTGTAGTGGGTGTATACAAGCATGTTAGATGTTCCATTGCACTGGGTGTGCCAATGTGATAAGTGATCCATTGTGCTGGATGTGCAAGTTTGTTAGGTGTTCCATTTCACTTGGTGTACTAGGCATTTCATTGTGTTGAAAGTGCCAGTGTATTGGGTGTGTCATTGTGCTGGATCCCCAAGTGTGAAAGGTAATCCAGTCAGTAGTGCCTAACTTACCTCCTCCTGGCTGGTGATCTGCTACTTCTACGATATCTGGGAGACGGAGGATCTCTGGGTTGGTCTAAGTCACGATAGTTCCCTCTCTTCCTTTCTGGAGTTGGACTCCTCTTATCATTCTCCTACAGATAAAAGCTACCAAGTTTACATCACAAAATACCACAAATTTGCACAATCATCCGATAATTCCCTTAAATTCTAGAGTTCAAATTTTGTGTTCAAATCCAAGTTCAATTCTATTTCAATAAACCTAAAAAGTAGTGAAGTCCATGCAAAGAAAATGGGATTAGAACTGACCACTATTTCTCCTTCATCACTGGATTCCATGTCCTCCATGTCGTCTTCAAGGGCACTGACCCGTGGGTCCAGCTCATTGTTGTCTTCAAACACTGCTCTCTTCTGCAAATGTACATAATACAACAACATAATACTGTATTAATGCATGAATATCCTAATTTTCTTGCAATTAACACTACCACACCATAACCAACTATTTACTCAATGTTGATCTAAATTCTATATATGGTGTTATGAAATGTGATGTATCTATTCTGTAGACTCACTAATGGTGTGTCAAGTACCTGTATTCTAGGAAGGATGATATCACACACCCTCTCTTCTCGCAGCAGAGAATCTATAAACTCATCCATGTGAATAATTGAGAAATCTGAAATATAAATAATACATTTAATGAAAGATTTACATGCTTCTTGAATCTCAGTAAGTTCTGCTCAAAAAGCTATAAAGCAATCAACAGAATCATGAAGGAATTCAAATTCTAATTCTAGTCAAACTGGGTCACCTAATAAAGCAGAACCAATGTTAGCAGGCCATCTGCCAGAAAGGCTTTGTAATATAATAATATGCAAATGTGAGGTACAAAAAATATGGTTCTATTGAGATCCAAACAATAAGTCAAACAAGAGTAAGATTTGCTCAACATTTACACCATACTTACTTCCCATTCTGTCTTGCTGTTTCATCTTTCTAAAGTCATTGTAGAGTGGTTCTAGATATTTGTAACAGTCCAGTGAAGTCCCAATCAACCTCATATATAGTGCACCTAAAGCTCTGACATATCTGAAATAGAGTGAAGATATCTAAATGCTACCGATATTAACGATGCTGGATATTAGACATGTCCACAAGTATTTTATCTATGTCAAAAGATATTAGTATTATTATTATAATCATAATTTAAAAGCTACTGATTAAAAGGCAATCAAAAAAAGGGGGGGGATGTAAATCAAAGGCAAAATGTGAAATAATATTACAAACAACAAAATGTCATCATGAAATACATGATATATCTTACTTAAAATCTTCATTTCTGATAAACTCAACCACAATGTCTTTCTCAGGCTGTATCTGTAGCATCTTCAAGACCAGACAAAGGAACGGAGTGGGTTTTATATTACCACCAAACACCCCTCCTACATATTTCAACTCCATTGCTTTGTCAACCAAAAGTTCCGCTAGAAAAAAAGGTTAACAAAAAATTATATAATCTAAACTTACTATGTTGTTCAAAACTTAAAGAAATATTCATCAGTTCTGTTAAAGGTTAACAAAAAATTATATAATCTAAACTTACTATGTTGTTCAAAACTTAAAGACAGAGCATTGTAACTGTAATGATTTGGTACGTGGAAATTAAAACATTGAATCACATCGGAAAAGGATATTTCCAAATTACCAACAACATTTACAAAGTTTTCAGCTAAGGACACTTGTTTCTTTGCATTACATTACATTTGCATCTACATTTTTTTCTTAATTATAATACTGTGAGCCCAGATTAATAGCTGAACTTTCTAGTTCTACCAGTAGCTTTCTACCCACTCAACATGTTCAAATTCTTAGACTGGTTAAAACCAAAGAAAAAATTACTAAACGAAGGACTTATTTTGTACCCATGTTTTATACCAGGACGGTGGTAACCCATGTTATCTGTCTCTGTTACTGGTTATTTGGATTGCACAGTGCCCGAAAGGGGGGAGTTCTCGGCTTTCAATGCTAGATGCCTAGCCGGCAAAAAGGCAGGGGGGATACAATCAGATACATGTACCTGCGAACAAAGATAGCTTATTGGGGTTTTCGAGGGCAGTAATATGTAATCATACCTGTTAATGCAAAACACTCTTCTTTCCAGTATCTACATTCGTAAATTCTTGTCCGAATGATCTTTTCTACTAAATACTGTGGGTTTGTGCCTTTTATAGAAACAGCGTCTTTTACTGTTCGGTTCGCCATGATGCCTCTTTAAGCTCACGTTAGTTCTCGTGACCCAGTTACAACATCACTTGCAAGACAATCAATTCGCTGTTTCAAACTGTTTAATGTGTCCATTTATAGAAGCCTCCGATGCAGTTATGGGCTTTTTCATTACGTTTTATTGATAAGAATAAGTAAGAAAGTACACTTGGCTTCAAGTCATACGTCAAGTAAAACGTTACTACCAGTAGATGGCGCTGAGATAGGACCGCGGGAAACTTTGTGTTGGTGAACGTCATGAAGAGATCACGCCGCTATTTTTCTCTGTCTCAGAGACAGATGCGTTCATTCACATGGGTTGGCAAAGGCGAAGTGAAGGATCGGCGTTTAGAAAACCGCCTTCATTACAGGTAGAGTACTGTCATTTTGTTTATCTTTGTAAATAAGCCATACGGAAATAATTGTGTTGGCAACCATTTTTAAAGGACCCAATATAGTAATAAAAAAGGGAAGGGCCAACTATATTAACACACGCACGCACACACACAAACACGCACAGAGCGAGAGAGAGAGAGAGAGAGAGAGAAGGGGTTGAGCTGTCTGTGCCATAAACTATTTGAATTAACACCATCCACAAGTAATTTGCACCTGAAAACCCCAGTATGAACCTAATTCAACTTAAAATATATATATATATATATATATATATATATATATATATATATATATATATATATATAATGGGCATAAGCTTGGCTGTACTTTTACATGGTAAAATGCAAGGAATATAAAAAACATTCACCTAGCCAGGTGAAGAGTCTTCAAGTTTGGACTTCACTAATTTTTATTAAGAGTGTTGTGAAATTTTTGCTGCCAAAATATGTTATTTATATAAATATATATTTATATATATATATATATACATACATACACACACAGTAATGTGTTTATTTCGATATGTAAACATCTGTTTATATCTGGTTTTGATAAGTATCACCCTTTTTTTTCATTGTAAGTGATACAAGAACAAGCCAGTATTTTTTTTTTTTCACATTTAACTACATTTTTAGCTATGAATCCTGAATTTTGATTTAATTTAATAACATTTTAGTAGTTTGAAATAATAAGGCATTTCAGGATTATCCTTTTACTTCAAAGATTTATTTTATTTTTGCCTAAATAATTTTTATTCTTACTATTTATTGTTTTATATTTGTGTAATGCAGGTCATATAAGAATGGCAGACTTGAAGTATGTATAGGTGACGGTGTCCTAGTTAACAACAGTGACAGCCTAGATGAGAAAAATGTGAAGCAGAATGCATATGTGGCACGGATACTGGATCTTTATGAAGATGGTCAGTGATATCAATACTGTCTCTAATAATAGTAAAATCAAATTTGTAAATATTTAAGACATTGTTAAACCCGAGTTTACCAAATCCTTAAAACATAAATTATTGTCTGGTACATGTAACTTTGGGATATTTTTACAAGTAATTTTATACTGTGTGTGTAGATGGCAGAAATGTTGCTGTAGTACAGTGGTACTGGCGCCACCATGAACTGCAATCTTGGGTCACCAGAAAAACTTACGGAGAAAAGGAGGTGCTCTTGAATCTGTGCAATTATGAACGGGAAATTGATATTGAATCAATTATTGACAAATGTGAAGTAAGTCAGAGTGGAGCCATTTATTATACTACTGTATAATAAATGTCCGTAATTATAATTTTGCAATAAAAATGTCAGTAATTATAATTTTGCAATAATGGGCATAAGCTTGGCTGTACTTTTACATGGTAATATGCAAGGAATATAAAAAACATTCACCTAGCCAGGTGAAGAGTCTTGGACTTCACTAATTTTTATTAAGAGTGTTGTGAAATTTTTGCTGCCAAAATACGTTATTTATATAAATGATTCCTAATTACTGGTATGGGCTCATCTTTGTCCTGTTTCCAGATTGTACAAGTAGCAGAAAATATGGACTCGGAGGTTGAAAAATGTACATCTGACACTGGGACCACAACATTTCTATTGAGGTATTCTTTTGATGGGAAAAAGTTACGTGCACTTACCTTATCCAACTTTGGAAGCACTAGCAATGGTAATACTAAATCGCCTTCTCTCATGAAATCATCAAAATCGAAGGGATCCAACAAGAAACCTAGTGGCAAAGAGAACAGTATGGCTGGCAAAGTAGATGGAGAACTGTATGAAGATGATAAAGTTTTAGATGATATGTCACTTGAAGACATTCAGTGCAAGCCAAGAAACAAAGTGACCTGCAAAGATACGGACATCCTTGTCTCACCTGTGAAGGGGAAGTCAAGAAAAAGTATAGGTACATACAGCAGTGCTTAGCAGAAGATGTTTGTCTATAAAGGATTTAAACCTATGACTATTTATATAAATATTTTAGTGTCAAAGGGAAAACAGTTTTACTATAATGAAAAGAACTCAAATGTAGCATGACTATAACTAGATGTTTTGNTATGAGGTACAAAAAATATGGTTCTATTGAGATCCAAACAATGAAGTCAAACAAGAGTAAGATTTGCTCAACATTTACACCATACTTACTTCCCATTCTGTCTTGCTGTTTCATCTTTCTAAAGTCATTGTAGAGTGGTTCTAGATATTTGTAACAGTCCAGTGAAGTCCCAATCAACCTCATATACAGTGCACCTAAAGCTCTGACATATCTGAAATAGAGTGAAGATATCTAAATGCTACCGATATTAACCATGCTGGATATTAGACATGTCCACAAGTATTTTATCTATGTCAAAAGATATTAGTATTATTATTATTATAATCATAATTTAAAAGCTACTGATTAAAAGGCAATCGAAAAAAGGGGGGATGTAAATCAAAGGCAAAATGTGAAATAATATTACAAACAACAAAATGTCATCATGAAATACATGATATATCTTACTTAAAATCTTCATTTCTGATGAACTCAACCACAATGTCTTTCTCAGGCTGTATCTGTAGCATCTTCAAGACCAGACAAAGGAACGGAGTGGGTTTTATATTACCACCAAACACCCCTCCTACATATTTCAACTCCATTGCTTTGTCGACCAAAAGCTCCGCTAGAAAAAAAGGTTAACACAAAATTATATAATCTAAACTTACTATGTTGTTCAAAACTTAAAGACAGAGCATTGTAACTGTAATGATTTGGTACGTGGAAATTAAAACATTGAATCACATCGGAAAAGGATGTTTCCAAATTACCAACAACATTTACAAAGTTTTCAGCTAAGGACACTTGTTTCTTTGCATTACATTACATTTGCATCTACATATTTTTCTTAATAATAATACTGTGAGCCCAGATTAATAGCTGAACTTTCTAGTTCTACCAGTAGCTTTCTACCCACTCAACATGTTCAAATTCTTAGACTGGTTAAAACCAAAGAAAAAATTACTAAACGAAGGACTTATTTTGTACCCATGTTTTATACCAGGACGAAGGCAACCCATGTTATCTGTCTCTATTACTGGTTATTTGGATTGGACAGTGCCCGAAAGGGGGTAGTTCTCGGCTTTCAATGCTAGATACCTAGCCGGCAAAAAGGCAGGGGGGGATACAATCAGATACATGTACCTGCGAACAAAGATAGCTTATTGAGGTTTTCAAGGGCAGTAATATGTAATCATACCTGTTAATGCAAAACACTCTTCTTTCCAGTATCTACATTCGTAAATTCTTGTCCGAATAATCTTTTCTACTAAATACTGTGGGTTTGTGCCTTTTATAGAAACAGCGTCTTTCACTGTTCGGTTCGCCATGATGCCTCTTTAAGCTCACGTTAGTTCTCGTGACCCAGTTATAACATCACTTGCAATACAATCATTTCGCTGCTTAAAACTGTTTAATGTGTCCATTTGAAGAAGCCTCCGATGCAATTTTGGGCTTTTTCATTACGTTTTATTGATACGAATAAGTAAGAAAGTACGCTTGGCTTCAAGCCATACTTCAAGTTAAACGTTACTACCATTAGATGGCGCTGAAATAGGACCGCGGGAAACTTTGTGTTGGTGAACGTCATGAAGAGATCACGCCGCTATTTTTCTCTGTCTCAGAGACAGATGCGTTCATTCACATGGGTTGGCAAAGGCGAAGTGAAGGATCGGCGTTTAGAAAACCGCCTTCATTACAGGTAGAGTACTGTCATTTTGTTTATCTTTGCAAATAAGCCACACGGAAATAATCGTGTTGGCAACCATTTTTAAAAGACCCAATAGTAATGTAAGGGAAGGGCCAACTATTAACACACGCACGCACACACACAAACACGCACAGAGCGAGAGAGAGAGAGAGAGAAGGGGTTGAGCTGTCTGTGCCATAAACTATTTGAATTAACACCATCCACAAGTAATTTGCACCTGAAAACCCCAGTATAAGCCTAATTCAACTTCAAATATACAGTATATATATATATATATATATATATATATATATATATATATATATATATATATATATATATATATATATATATACAGTAATGTGTTTATTTCGATATGTAAACATCTGTTTATATCTGTTTTTGATAAGTATCACCCTTTTTGTTCATTGTAAGTGATTCAAGAACAAGACAGTATTTTTTTTCACATTTAACTACATTTTTAGCTATGAATCCTGAATTTTGATTTAATTTAATAACATTTTAGTAGTTTGAAATAATAAGGCATTTCAGGATTATCCTTTTACTTCAAAGATTTATTTTATTTTTGCCTAAATTATTTTTATTCTTACTTTTTATTGTTTTATATTTGTGTAATGCAGGTCATATAAGAATGGCAGACTTGAAGTATGTATAGGTGATGGTGTCCTAGTTAACAACAGTGACAGCCTAGATGAGAAAAATGTGAAGCAGAATGCATATGTGGCACGGATACTGGATCTTTATGAAGATGGTCAGTGATATCAATACTGTCTCTAATAATAGTAAAATCAAATTTGTAAATATTTAAGACATTGTTAAACCTGAGTTTACTAAATCCTTAAAACATAAATTATTGTCTGGTACATGTAACTTTGGGATATTTTTACAAGTAATTTTATACTGTGTGTGTAGATGGCAGAAATGTTGCTGTAGTACAGTGGTATTGGCGCCACCATGAACTGCAATCTTGGGTCACCAGAAAAACTTACGGAGAAAAGGAGGTGCTCTTGAATCTGTGCAATTATGAACGGGAAATTGATATTGAATCAATTATTGACAAATGTGAAGTAAGTCAGAGTGGAGCCATTTATTATACTACTGTATAATAAATGTCCGTAATTATAATTTTGCAATAAAAATGTCAGTAATTATAATTTTGCAATAATGGGCATAAGCTTGGCTGTACTTTTACATGGTAATATGCAAGGAATATAAAAAACATTCACCTAGCCAGGTGAAGAGTCTTCAAGTTTGGACTTCACTAATTTTTATTAAGAGTGTTGTGAAATTTTTGCTGCCAAAATACGTTATTTATATAAATGATTCCTAATTACTGGTATGGGCTCATCTTTGTCCTGTTTCCAGATTGTACAAGTAGCAGAAAATATGGACTCGGAGGTTGAAAAATGTACATCTGACACTGGGACCACAACATTTCTATTGAGGTTTTCTTTTGATGGGAAAAAGTTACGTGCACTTACCTTATCCAACTTTGGAAGCACTAGCAATGGTAATACTAAATCGCCTTCTCTCATGAAATCATCAAAATCGAAGGGATCCAACAAGAAACCTAGTGGCAAAGAGAACAGTATGGCTGGCAAAGTAGATGGAGAACTGTATGAAGATGATAAAGTTTTAGATGATATGTCACTTGAAGACATTCAGTGCAAGCCAAGAAACAAAGTGACCTGCAAAGATACGGACATCCTTGTCTCACCTGTGAAGGGGAAGTCAAGAAAAAGTATAGGTACATACAGCAGTGCTTAGCAGAAGATGTTTGTCTATAAAGGATTTAAACCTATGACTATTTATATAAATATTTTAGTGTCAAAGCGAAAACAGTTTTACTATAATGAAAAGAACTCAAATGTAGCATGACTATAACAAGATGTTTTNAGTGCAAGCCAAGAAACAAAGTGACCTGCAAAGATACGGACATCCTTGTCTCACCTGTGAAGGGGAAGTCAAGAAAAAGTATAGGTACATACAGCAGTGCTTAGCAGAAGATGTTTGTCTATAAAGGATTTAAACCTATGACTATTTATATAAATATTTTAGTGTCAAAGGGAAAACAGTTTTACTATAATGAAAAGAACTCAAATGTAGCATGACTATAACTAGATGTTTTGTTTTTTTTTTCTTTACTATGCTGTTGTACATGTAAGGTTGCTCTTCAAAAGGTTCTATTGTTATCAAGTGCAGTAAACGTAATTTTCTCAGGCTCATAGCCAGCAGTTTCAAAAGGGGGGTTCTTTTTCTGAGAAAGTGGACTTTTTACCATGAAACCTTCATGTACCGAGATAAAAATTTACCCAGAGGGGACCTTTTTCTGGCAAAAAAAGGGTTCTTTCAAACCACCTCCCCCCCCCCCAAACCCTGCCCCCTAGCTACGACATGTATTTCTATATGCCTTGTCACCGCTCAGTACAATATTTTCAGATCTGAAGAGTCCTGTCATCAGTAAATACTACAGAGCATTCCGGACAGATGATGTAGCACAGTGTTTAGTAGATGATGACATCAGCGAGACTAACACAGATATTATCATGGATGATGACAGTGAGTTTGGGATAGAAAAAGTGGAAGAAAATAACTCCACAGTATCTAGTACTTCTGGGAAGACCAAAAGATCCAAGTCTCAGAAAGTGACAAAGAATGTCAAAAGTAAAGATTTTGAGCTTTTTACCTCTGTGACTCCATTGAGCTCCAAAAAACATGGCAACAGGAGGACTGAAGGTGATGAGCCTTGTGTAGCCTCCAATACTAAGAGGCCTTCCAGGAAGTCCACAGGTATGACAACCAAGCGTGAGGTCAGCCAGACTGAAGTGGAAGGCTCTCATAGTCCACCTAAAAGGGGGAAAACTTCCACAGACAGTGACCTGAATGTGAAGCCTGTGTCCAAGCGTAACAGCAGGAAGTCGTTGCCTTTCACAAAATCTGGGAAAAGTTGGCCAAATGTAATGTTAGAAAAGCTACCAGTTAGTTCGAGGGATTTGAAAAGTGCTACATTTGATGTCTCTCCAGAAAGAGTTGTTGCTAAAGTTCCATCTGGAAAAGAGTTTCCTATTACAGACCTTGGGAAGTCTGCACAGAGAAAGAAAAGCAGGTAAAAGCAATTGTTCTAGGTCACTGCTACCAGAGGGAACTTCAAATATCTGAACTTATTCATTTTAACCAATTGTCAGGAAGTAAATAGTTTTTGTTATAGGTTTCACATGAAATTAATACTAAATATTATTTTGACTTCGGTGAGCTGCTTATACTGTTTAATTGCATCTTAGTTTGTTTTGTCTGTGAGATCCATTTTTATGCTCTGTTCACAATTATTCATAACCCCTTCTCCCCTCCCACATCAAATCAGTTCTAGGAAAAAGAGAGTGTCTGATCCTTACTCATTTAAAAGTGATGATGACCAGGATTGTGATTTGAAGTCATTCAGAAATGGTTCAGTTTCTTCTGTGCAAAAGACAGCAAAAACTGCTAAGTCTAAGAACAGCAAAGCTATTGCAACTCCTAAAGGTGGCAAAGAGCCAACTACACCTAAAAATGCTAAACCTGCTGCAACACCCAGGGCAAGCAGGTGAGCTTTTGATGTGTATTGCATATCTAAATATTTTTCTCGAATTTCACAATCATTGATAAAATATGCTTTTTATGTAAGTGAATAAGAAATTGCTAGTACATTACTTACATTTGAAGTCTAAAACTATGTGTGTTAAGCTTAAACCTCTCCTCTCTTACAATTTTGACTGATTTTGTTATGAAATAGAGAAAACTTGTTTTTTACAGTCGAAAGAAGAAAGCGGTCAAGTACTTCCATAGTGACAATGACAGTGATAACAGCGATGCCAGTGTACATACCAAGAACCTCAGTGATAGCGATGATTCTGCAGAGGATTCGTTGGAGGGTTATGATTCCAAACCTAATTCCAGGAGGAAAAGTATGACAGGGAGAAAAGCCAGTAAAACACCTGTTAGGACTCCTGGAAAGCAGAGTTGTGCCAGGACTCCAAAGGTGAGGCTGGGAATCAGTGATTCATTGAGTCAGTGAGGCAGTGAGGCAGGAAATGACCATTATCAACAACAATATTTAAATATTTCTGCAGGAATAAACCAAGTTTTATTAATGAAACTTGACAGTTATTACGCAACTTGATACTAGATGTGTACCAGTACATTGTTTCATGCTGATTTTATAGTCTGTGCAAAGTTTAAAAATTGTTCCATAATGCAGTGACACAGTCCATATGTTTAGTATGTTTTCTCAGTATTTACTGTTTTTCTGATATATTCTTCTCTTTATAATCTTATGTTAAAGACTCCAAGAAGTAAGGCCACTCCATCCATCCCAAGCCGTGTCAAAGCTTGTGCCACACCCAGAACAGTACTGGAGCAAGCAAGAGCCAGGTAAGGGGGTTGAGTTGGCCGGTGGGGGTTACAGTGATCAACTAATTTGATAAAAGAAAGAAAAGAAAGGTTATTTTTCAGCTATTGCTTTACTTGTAGCAATATTGTACCCCTGGAGATTTGAAAATGTCAAATGGTTTGCATGTTTTTCAGACTTCATGTATCTGCTGTGCCAGAAACCCTGCCCTGCAGGGACCAGGAGTTCCAGGATATCTTCCAATTTGTGGATGGTCACATCTTAGATAAAACCAGTGGGTTAGTAGAAGAAGAAAAGAATTTGTACTTTGGGGTTCTTTGGAGATGAAATTGAAAGTATTAGATTATATTTTGGAGAGCATAATGACAATTTTTATTCAGATTTTATGAATACAGGTAATGTTATCACATTTTCCTGTTAGATTCTGTCTGTGTTTTCATTAGTCATAGTGTTGTTCTTTTCCAGTTGTATGTACATATCTGGTGTGCCAGGCACAGGGAAGACTGCCACTGTGCATGAAGTGATACGAGAACTACAACTACAGAGTAAGACTGATGAAGGGAATTCATTCCGCTTCATTGAACTCAACGGAATGAGACTGACAGACCCACATCAAGCCTATGTAGAGTTACTGAAGGTGACTTTTAATCTACAAACTACCACTAGCCACATAATGTTTACTTCCTGTCGTGATGCCAGTCAGTTGCCTTATTGGCTTTAGAATTTACCTTTATACAGCTTTCATTTACAGTGTCAATTACTCAGTTGTTGAAGCTTGCAAGCTATTACATGTGTAAACTTGAAATTTTTAGGTAGCACTACCTTGTTTCTTTTGTTTCAAGTTGTAAATCAACATGTTTTGAGCTTAGCACATTATTTTGCTCTTTTTTGGTTAAATTGGCTGACAACGTTGTTTTCTAGGAACTGACTGGAGCTAAGGCCACTCCTGACCATGCAGCTGCCCTGCTGGAAAAGAGGTTCAACACAGCAGCGCCCAGGAGAGAGACTGTTGTGCTACTGGTGGATGAGGTAATGTTGCTGATTGATAAATCCTGAAATTTGCATGACATATATGCTTGAAAATATGAGCTTTATATCTGATCATGATGTATCTTTTATTTAGTTGGATTTGCTGTGGACAAAAAAACAGAATGTGTTGTACAACATCTTTGATTGGCCCACCAAACCCCATGCCAGACTTATTGTGCTTGCTGTAGCCAATACCATGGATTTACCTGAGAGAATTATGATGAACAGAGTGTCCAGTAGACTAGTAAGTATTAAATCTCCACAATGTAACCAGTTTATCATTTAATAAGCTTTTTTTTCAACAATTGTGAGAATTCTTGCAGTTTGCTCAGATAGTGCAAGTATTAGACTTTTTTGTTTTTTTTTTTTTTGTCGTTTTGGCATTTCCAAAAACTCAACTTTGACACAGACAGTCACATCTTCAAACAGAAGAGGTTGGCAACATTAGATTTTTATTGCAATTTTAGGGTTTGACACGAATGACATTCCAGCCATACACACACAAGCAGCTTCAGGAGATAGTGTTATCAAGGATGAAGGGGGTGAAAGCCTTCAACGAAGATGCAATACAGTTGGCAGCCAGAAAAGTATGAGTTTTTCTTGGTCTCTAGATAGGAAGATAAAACAGAATTAGTTTTTTCTTGGAGACTAAATAACAGGAATCAACAATACTTTTCAGTCCACCATCTATAGACCTTGGAATGGTAATTTTGCACTGGAGTTCAAAGCCATGTTTTCAGTATAGTTGGTTTGACAGATGACTGAATCTATGTTGAGCTTTTTTACCAAACCATTACATAAAACACTAATTAGTGTTTTGAACCACTTCAAATTGTTTCATGTAAAAATTACTAATGTGTAGGTGGCAGCAGTGTCAGGTGATGCAAGAAGAGCCCTTGATATATGCAGGAGAGCCACAGAAATTGCAGAATTTCAAGCCAAGAAGAAGAACCAGCCAGGCCTAGTGGAGATGGAACATGTTGACACTGCCATCCAGGAAATGTTCTCATCACCAAAAATTGTAGCCATGAGGTAAAATATTTTACAAGCCAACTTTATTTTTGTGTAAAAAAATCTAACTAAACTTAGGTCTCAATCTTTAAAAAGTGACCAATTCTCTTGGACAAAAAGAAGGAAAAAGTTGTAGTCTATGACCTTTAATTAGATAAGGTCTACTTTAACTTTAGGAATGCCTCTGCACAGGAGCAGCTGTTCCTAAAGGCAGTGCTGGCAGAGTTCCAGAGGAGTGGACTGGAGGAGGCAGCCTTCTCCAAGATATTTAGACAGCACATAGCTCTCTGCAGGTTTGAAGGTAACTTTCTTTTTTTGTCTCAAAATGTAAGACCATCTAAGAACAGTTCAGATATTTTTGGTTGTCAATGTAACTTCACTTGCTTTATATAGCAACTTCAAACTTTGAATAAGTATGAAGCCAGCTGAGTGGTTTGCAGCAAAAAAATACATGAATAACTTTGCTGAAACATGTATATGAATGTTTCCCCTTCTACTGACAAACTATTTGTATGAAAAGTGTCATATTTCCTGCAGGCATTACTCCTCCCACTGCGTCAGAGGTAGCATCCATCTGCTCCCGCCTGGGAAGTTATCGTCTGCTGCTGGTAGAGAGTGGACGTAATGATTTGCACCAGAGAGTGCGCCTCAATGTCAGTCAGGACGACGTGGCCTATGCCCTAAGGACTGTCAGCGAAATTGAACAATAGAGATATGCCCCGTGATCAAGATGTCACATTTCCTCATTTCTTGGAACTTTCAGAAAATGTTTGCAATGAGAGTATTATTTTAGATCATCAAAGCAGTGTTAACAAAGTTGATATATGCCTGCTATATTAATTGTCAAGTATTAGCATAGAGTGCTGACTAAGAGGTTATGTACTTTCCATTTCCTGGAGATTGGAACGTCTTTCATTTTGGGGAATACATTTTTATCAACTTAACTTTGGAAAAAATGGGCTACAAGATGGAAGAACATTTCACTATATTGACTCTACTTTTAAATGTCCTAATCTTTTAAAACCGTCTTCAAAAAACTCAATGATGAATCAATTTTTGCCTTCACTGCAGTTTGGTTTTATAATTTTAATGAGCAAAGGGAGTATTTCAACTTATCTATCCCATTAAAAGAAAGAATATAATGTTGCTATTAAAAGGCTACAAACTGTATTTGAAATAAATACTTCAATTGTAAAACTTGTGTACAATAATACTTCCCTTCTTACAAATAAAAGATATCCAAGCAGATGCATGAACTCGACACATTTCAAACCAACTGTATTTCTAAAAGCACCAACAATAATATGGTATTACAATTGATGATAATTACAATGTACATATCACAGCATGTGTACACAATGCAAAAAATTGCCAGCAACTTTGTAAAATAATGCTTGTGGTTTTCATATTAGTGGCATGGTGGGATGGAAGAGTTTGTGGACATTGGCAGAAATGACCACAAGGCAGGTCTGCGTCCCTGACCCAATGGGACAAGCTATCAAGAAAAACCCGCACATACTCTCAGCCTTAAAGCATGATTTGATTGCTTTATCACAGACAACAGCTAAAATGTAGCTTTGCCTGTTCTATGAGAAAGAATTTTCTCTAAATTGCCCTTAAGACTTGTTTCAAGTTGATAGTAATGAACCAGTTCTTCAGAGGTTTTTTCTTTTTAATTACACATCCACACTTTTCAAGTCAACTTATTTTCCTTCTACAACTGTTTTAAAGAATAATAAAAACAACCAGAAGCAAGAAAAGAAGATCTTATGTCTTATCTGTCCCATCAACCACCAACTTCCTAAGTCTCACAGAGGCAGGCCGCCTATGACTAGGATTGGCTGAGGTTGGTGGAGATGGAGTCAAGATTGGGGACGGAGAACTCTGAGGGCTTGCTGGCAGGGAGCCAATTCTGATAAGTCTGTGTTTAGTCCTAAACGCAGAGGTATCAACCTCCCCTGAATGTCTTCTTTGTCCCTCACCCCTTGCACCATTGGAGGCTACCTCTAGGTAAGAATCACTGTTAGCAGACCCTGCACTGTCCATTCTGGTCAGCCGGGTCTTCCTGACCCCCTGGTCTGACCCAGGTCTGGACTCGGTGCTGGTGGTGGTCAGTGGAATGTCATGGGAGGCCTTCATGGGACCAGGCTGTCTTTTAGGTGAGCTAGGACTGGCTGGTAATGGCTTTAGGGGCTCTGGGACCCGCCTGATGTGAAACAAATGTTTTTACAATATGATTATGTGTGAACAATGTGACTTCTGATTACTGGTAGAAGACAGTGATACATTCATAGAAATAATAAAATGAGTAGAAATGTGTTTTACAACTTTCCTCTGTTCAACAGTGGGCAGTGCTTAACATACAATGTGATGAGTTATGTATTTGGTTAACATTTTTCAACAGCTGTTCTTAAAGAACACAAACTTACCTTGTCCCCACTGTAGGCTTAAACAACCCTGACTTGACCAGCCCTGGTCCACTTGCTTTAGGAACCACATCTGATAACAGCTCCTGCTCTAGATGACCTCTTTCTTTCTGAAGTTCTACAAAACATCAACATATATAAACAAAATTTTACTTTTGAGGCTATGTGTGAAAATCGGTCACAAAATGTTATTTGCATTTGTTTCTTAATTCAAAAATGTGTCCTTTGAAAGCATGTTACCTACAGTGCTCATATACTTCTGATTTGTCTTACCTGTGATTGAAGGCTCCTCAGCCTGAGCCTCATCTCTGTAGTCCACCTCTCCTTGAAGGCACTCCTGGAATTGCAGGTAACTTTCAAAGTTAAATATTTAGTAACTGTATACATTAGTTCCAAATTATGAAAATTAGGAGTTGTGACAGATGAAGTAGTACAGAGAAAAGTTATCTTTGCCCAGATCTTACCTGAGAGGGGACATTACCTTCAAGATATCTCCAGGGATGGGCACAAGGCAGATATTTCCAGGAAGGGACACATGTCAGGTATATCAAGTGATGGACATAAAGCAGTATCTCCAAGGATGGACATAGAGCAGATAACTCCAGGGATGGACAGAGGGCAGTATCTCCAGGGATGGACATAGAGCAGATAACTCCAGGGATGGACATAGAGCAGATAACTCCAGGGATGGACAGAGGGCAGTATCTCCAGGGATGGACAGAGGGCAGTATCTCCAGGGATGGACATAAAGCAGATATGTTTAGGGCTAGACAGAAGGCAGATATTTCAGGAAATGGGAACAAGACAGGTATATCCAGCGATGGCCAGAAGACAGTATCTCCAGAGATGGATATAGAGCAGATATCACCAGGGATGGACATAGAGCAGATATCACCAGGGATGACCAGAAGACAGTATCTCCAGAGATGGATATAGAGCAGATATCACCAGGGATGACCAGAAGACAGTATCTCCAGAGTTGGACAGAGGGCAGAGATCTCCGGTGGTCAGTGGTGAGAAATAATATGCTTAAAGTCATTTGAATGTGTACATTGTGCCAAAATGTGAATATTTTTCATCTGTCTCTTTGAAATTAATTAATTAAAAGAAGGACAGATGAGAACATCTCACCTGAAGGAAGGCTATATCTCTGAGCAATTGGTTAACTTCCTCTTCCATGGTTTCTCTGGAAATCACATCATGAAATGTTATCAAACTGTTATTCAGTGACTTTATTGTGGTAATATTCTTTTTTCAAAATCCTTAAAAACTATTGGTTCTCAACAAGTCTTACCTGATGCTTACATGTACTTTGACAGTGAATGTCATCATATTTTGCATTCTGTTCTTAACACTATCATTACATCATCTTCATAAACATTTACCTTAAATGAAGAACAACATCATCCAGTTTCAGTACATTCAGCTTATCATTCATAGACTCCACATCGTCACTCAGCGTGGAAGCTCTGGATAAGAATGAAAAGACGACCTCAGAAACAGATATGTGTACCAGCAATAGTAGATCAGGAAAATGCTACACACTCAACCAAAATGGGTATTCAAAATTACCAATACTGTGTGATTTTCACTGAGTTTCTATAAAAAACCGAAGTTTATTTTTTGCCATAAGCCCACAAAATAAGTTATCAAAAAGTTTGCAACACACAGGTCACAAAATGCATCTTCCATTTGCCTTATTATTTACAATAGCATAACACTAAAATACAGTGATGGTATAAATTCAGTTGCCATCCTGTGCAGCCCACCTGTCACTTGTTGGTGTGAGTCTAGTGAGTGGGGTTTCCCTGCCGTCACGTGAACTTCTGGCCGTTGAAGGGCGGGAAGAGGTCTCTGCACTACCTGGCCCTGGAATTTGACAAAGTTGTCGTACAATAAATATTTAAAAACTTTGAACCAGATGAAGTATTTTAATGTATCAAAATGTATTGAATACTTATTCAAATAAAGCTGAATTAATGTGATTATAGTATCTATTAATGTTAAAAGAACTTTAAATCATTGAAGAGCAACCAAAAAACAGTGCAATTTGGAACAATTTCACATACTTTTTTTGTCTAGTGCATACTCGATAACCTCTGTATTATGTCTTGACAGGACCAAAGACGGATCCCTGTAAATTGAAGTCTATATTAATTTAAAGCAAGAAAATATCAAATGAATTAATTTTGCTCCAGTTTTCCATATTTTCCAAGTGGGCGAATATCTTATGATAACACTAAAGATTAACAATAACATTTCATGTGACTGATTAATAAACAGCATGTTATCAAAAATCAATGTTAAAATGAAAGTTAAATTTATTAGAATATAGACAATGTCCTGCTGACCTTCCATTTTTCTGTGCTTTTTCCCTCAAGCTGTCAACAAAGAATTTGATTTCTTGTTTTAGCCTGTCTCTGACTAGTGGAGGCTCAAACATCTGAGATCTCTGTACTGTTTGGTTGGTATCATCTCTGTAATCTCGCCATATGTCCAGCAATGTATTCACCTGCCACATAGAACATGAGTCATGAACTTTACTTCTTTAAGTTATACATTATACCATTATTAACATTTCAATATCTGATTATTAAATTCAAAATATAATTTTACTTAATTAAAATTAATAATATATGCCAAAGTTTAGATATAAACAATGTTAAATCAAAATCATGCCTCCTCATGCAGCTCTAGGCTTTGTTCCACCAGGGACTCTCCCAGCATGTCCTTCACTTCCTCCTGCTCATGCTCTGGTACATGATGCTTTACCAGTTCCCACAGAGACAATGGAGGTTCATAGGCATACACGTCAAATGTACTGGCCATAATGGAGACTGATTAAAACCCACTCTGGTCTACATCTTGCCTTTTCTTTTTTTCTAGTGAAATTCTATAATACAAAACAATGGCCATGTCTATAACTATTGTACACTGCTGAACGATATGCATCAATATGAGAAGTCCTTTGACACAAAAAGAGAGAGAAACTTACACTAACACACTGTAAACTGTTACCTAGCTATCCACTACCATCTTCATGCTTAGATAAGTGAATGTAACAGGCAGTATGCTGTATCATCACCCATAAGGGCAGCAGTAAAATGCTTTAAAATAATGTTAAACTGAAAAAATAGAATTCTGAACCTGCTGACACTTTCCAATTGTGGTAGTTCCAGTCAAATATAGAAAAGAAGCTGCACATATCTGGCAAAATGTAACAGATGCTACCGGACAATATTTAGAGGGTTTTGGCTTTGCACTGAAAATCCTCTTTCAATTCAAAACATCACATTTACAGTTATAAATGTGCAACGCTTGCCATCAAATCTGCAAATTCAGATATGGATTTATGATAAAATAAATCAATTTTATTTAACACTCATTATAAAATACTTCCTTTCGATTAGATCCTTTGAACTCTTACCTTAAATGTGGCATTCAAAATAATGTGCATAGACTGACACCACATATAGTTTACATGTTGTCAAGGGTGCGCTGTCAGTTTCACATCCTCTCAAAAACAATCGAATTCTACCTTCTCTCGGTAAAGAAATCCAACAGGTTCTTACCTTTTAGCACCTAATGGATACCAAAATTCATCACTAGTCCATTGTGATAAAGATATAAAGACGTCTTTCGATGCTTCGCACGCCTGAATTTGCAGTATATTTCTCGCTCCGATTCACAATAATGGCGGCATGCGATCCCACAGTTCTTAGGAGAATCTTTTTCTGGACTCTAATTATAGGAGAGTCGCACCTGTCTCAGAAGTGGTCGCTTGTGCAATCATATGTGATATTACGCCAAATTTTCAAATAAAAAAGAAACAGGTTTTTGAAAAAGTAAATTCGATGCTGTTAAATGATAAGTTTTTTATGAATTTAACGGTACAAGTAAATTTACATTTCGGGATCGTAAAATGAGTTTTGTTTAAACGTTGAAGTAGAAAAAAGTCATCATATTACAAATTAATATATTTGCCTTTCTAATTTTTTATTCAAATGTAGGGAAGACCTTGGTGTGATCAGGAGCTTATTTTTAGAGCCAAGGGTGGCCTTTATTACTGTCCTAAAAATGTAAACATTCTTTTGCCAGAGAGGGCGCAGCGATCGCCAGCTGGTTCCTGTTCCCTGTGCTGCAGTGACAACATGGCTGCGGTAGGAGGAGGAGACGATGGCCCAAATTTAGAAGGTTTATCCGAAGAGGAAAAGCAGAAGTTGCTTGATGTCATAAAGCGAGCAAAGGTGTGTATCATCTAATTGCTACCTTGCTTAAATGGTGTTCAAAGTGGTACATATTTTCAACTGTGTTTGGGAATTACTAATGCATGCACACCGGCAACATTCCCCAATTAAGTCGGACTGTCCCCCAGTGTTAATCTTGAGTCTGACACCCTGGGGTTGGCATTACACTACTCCTTTGCCTGTATCTTTTATACTTCAACTTTTGCTAAATATCCAACAATTCTCTCAGTTCCTCGCCGCTTGAAAGCGGTTCATGGCCATTGGGGTTGTAGAATGGGGTTAAGTTTTGTTTCAATTTAATTTAAATTCTTTGTTTTAAAAAACAAAATAACATTTTCACCTAACCAAAGTAACAGATAATTTTAACGTTGATGAATTAACAAGATCTACCAAAGTAGATGTACTAGAAATTTTATTTTTTAAACATACCTTTTTATTGTAACATCTTTCTAATGTGATGACTGATGTTTACCCTAGTACATCTTAAAGGCATACACTTATGTTGCAACATTGGCTTGTTTAGAAAATGAAATTGATATCCACCATATACCTGTAACTACTCAAACATTGCTCTTTATGTCAAGTGACAATGTAACATCTAACTGCTTTATTGGCAGAAGGCTAATGAAAAAAGTCTTTAAAGCTTGTTTTGGGGCTGTATGTTTTTAACCATCATTATCAAAACTTAATTTATATTGATTATAGAGGGATGGTTGTATAAGCCTGTAGGCTGGAGGTTTGGGATGGTTTAAAAAAAAACCAACCTTTCTGTCTGCACAGAATCAATCTATGCCATTTCTTAAGTTGGGTCAACCGTAAGGACGGATAGCCCACTATTGCAAGCTGGCTACAGTCTGTTGCTTAACTGTCAAATTGAAGAGTTGGTCAAGAAAAAAAAATTGCATTAAAATATCATCTATAGTCCCTTTAATTGAAATCAAAATTAATTCTTTTTATTCATTATTGATTAATACAATATGTATGGGATCTATCTTTCTGGCCACTGTGTGTCTTAATCTACTAGTAGACTGCATATGAAAATGTTTGAACATATGTACTGTAAGTGTAACTTGAACTCATTACTGATTTGTATGTTTTAATTGATGATTCATGTTCTGATGCAATTCTTTTTTGCAGGAATTTGAAGTGGAAGAAGAGAAGCTGGTTCTCAGGTAAGGACCTTTTTTTAGTGTCTGAACATTAAGCTTTACTGCATCAAGTTATGACTCCACTGGAAACTACCAACAAAGTTTTGTTGGTAAATGCAGCCTAACATCCAGCACACTTTAAAGTTATTCATTAAAGCACATTCCATGCTCAGCAATTGGCAGTGTTCTAGTAGCATTGCTTGAATAAGCCCTTTTCCCTAACACTTAAGTTGTTTTTAAAGTTGATCTTAATAAACCTCTGGGTAAAACAGCTTCAGAAGATTTGATATAAGATTCTTAATCATTTTTATGAGAAAATGTTTGTAATATGAAAAAAATTAACTAATGATATACAACTTAAGGACTATATAAAATATGTGAAACTATCCATTTACTGTGTAGTTCTGAAGTCATTTCATCCAGCATTATTTACTTTTACTCCCAAAGCTGTTCAAGTTTACCTCCTGTTATAACTCCACATTAAAAATGGCATTAAAGAAAGTAGAAAAATGTAGTACTTCTGTACACTTTTATGAATTTTTTCTTTCTCTGTAACATTTCTCTAACAAAAGCCAGTTGCTTGTTTTTATATGAAAAATTGATTCCAGTGAATTTTTTATCACAGGTTTTATCTCTTTTATTGATTCCTAAAGGAATGACAACTCTTTTGGAGGGAGTTAAAACAATATTATCACTTCATCACTGAACAACTTGTCATTTTATTGATGTCCTCGAGCTCTTCCAGATAACAGTTACCACTTTGGTATTGATAGAAACATAGAGAATATGATGTGGATTTCTTGAGGTATTGACAGGATAAGTTATAATTTTTTTTAGTGGATCTTTGATAAACACTGGAGACGGTGTGATATTTGAAGTCTGTACAACATATGATAATGTAGCGTTAATGTTGGCACAGGTAATAGGATGGCAGTGGTACAGCTAATGATCTATACATATTGTGTATTCTAGGTAACTAACATATAAAGTTATGTATTTAGAAATAAATTTCTTGGATTATTCTGGCATACTTTTTGTTTTAGCTACAGTGTATGCTTCATATTTTCAGCACAATCAGATTTATCCAAGAATTTAACATTTTGTTAAGCCAGATTTTTTAGCATTTGGTAGATCGAGACTTAATGTGCTAATGGGATCCCAAAAATTCAGATATGATAAACTCAATAATGGGATAAAGCTGCAATATAATGAACATAATTAATTTATGCGTAGCAAACAAACAAAATATATGCACACACATTAATACACACATATATATATATATATATGGGGTAGAGTAGCTTTCTATGTAAAGGGTAGCATGTCATATATCACTTTTTTAGCTTGTAAATGTCACAGCACCAATCAATTTCTTGGAGGCAAATGCTACATATCTCTCCATTCTCCTCACATAATGTGCATTGGGTTGTATCAGGAGATGAGTCACAGCAGCATTGATACATTACTCCTGGGATACTCTCAGCCTCTGTTAGCCAGCAGAGCAGGGACACAGCGACCTGGAGAACCTGCTGGTGATTTCTGGGATAACTGCTTGTAATGTGTGAGAGAACTGCGAGGCTTTCCACATTGTAGAGATTTTTTTTCATGAGCTATTACTCAATGTATGTGTACCATACAATATGGATAATGAAACAGCAAAGATGGCTCATGGACTTCATTAGAAGGTGGGCTGTGTATTTTGTTATCAAGTTGTGTTTATTTCTAGTCACGTTGAGGCTGATATCATGGTAGGTGGGGTAATATTAGTTGTATTAAGGTCATTATTGAAGCTGGATTGGGTAATTGTATATAAATACTTTGAAGTTATCCATTGATATATTGAACACAGGCTCAGTGTAATTCAGCCCACCATGCAGCTGGGTTATGGATCAGGTATCTTATATATTCACCTAAACATTTTTTATGTCTCTTCCATCCCAGTTTACCACAAACCTTCATAGTCCCATTCACACCAAGAAAAAAGGCAACAAAACACATTGGTTCTTCAAGATTTGGCCCCAGTATCCTAATCATTTTAACAGCTAGTGTAACAAATTGTTGCCTGTGTTACATTTTATGACCTTAGGAGTAAAAAATATATATTAAATATTCAATAAGACTTATCATCTGAAATATTATGATTAATGAGTCAGCAAAAGTTATTGTTTACAAACAATGCTGCACAAATTGTGTTTGTGGGGTTGCAAAGAGGCATTCAATAAAAATCATCTTAAACATTTTTTATGTTGGTCCTTGTATCTTAGAATAAAGCTCAATCTCTATATGTATGGTCTGAAGCTGATAGTCAAATCTCCACTGCATTAGCCATATTCTAAGACTGGCATTGTTTCAAAACATCTAGATGGCTTGATCAGATGGCTACAGCATTGTACCTACCAGTATGGTCTAAAATAAATTATTTCATGTTTCTGATTATTATTAAACATTTAAGTTGATGGTCAAGTATTACATTTCCTAATGTGGGTTTCATAAGATACCTTTTTTTTACTGTTTGGCACCTTTCTAGCTAGAATTAACTTAATTCTGTAAAGATAATCTTCACGTAACACGTACAGGATGAATATGGAATTAATGCATCTCCACAAATTAGCATCTTTCTGAATTGCTAAGATTACATCCTGCTTTCTATAAATGCGGATAATGATGTCAGCAAGTTAAATGATAGGAATGTAATATACAGAGTGATTAGTTCTGAGGTTTGTTACTAAGTAATCTTAATGCAACTATGACGTACATTTGCAAACTCCTTGTGTTCGTATGTTGGCTTAAGCTAAATTTAGCCAGGGATCTGTGAGGTTAGAATGACTTGTCTGTGGTTGATTTTCTTTAAAAAATTTTGCACATTTTTCATTGGCATTTATTGAATGTTGTACAGAAAATTTAGATCTGTTTATCTCACCCAATTTAAAGGGCAATTTCATTATTCACAATAAATGAATGAATAAACAGACATTTCTAGATGACATGTAAATATCAACAGATGTACAGTAGTATTGCCTGATTTCCAAGTCATGTTTATCAGATCATGTAACATGCTGTATTTTCCAGGTAGTTCTTTGATATTGGTCAATTATCATATAAATCAGATTATCTAATCTGCTGTGCTTTCTAGACAGTTCTTTGATATTGGTCCATATGATCCTATATATCAGACCATGTTCTATGCTGTGTTTTCCAGGCAGCCTCTGGAAGGTGTGCTCTGTAAATACACCAATGTGATGAAAGGCTGGCAATTCCGCTGGTTTGTGCTGGTGCCAGAGACGGGAATGTTGGAGTATTATGAGGTAGAACAGGAAATAATACTAGTACTGCTAGCCCCATCACAGCTTGTTAAAGATTTTGATTGTCATGAAACAAGTGAAACTTAAAGTGCTTTATGATAGTAATCTTTTTATGAATTACGTTGATTTACATCTTTAGAAAGAAATGTTATATCTATTTTTTTAATTTTTTAGTTTATTTATTCTTTTTTTTCCTTTGGCCATTTTTTATGATATTGACTATGAGTCCCAACATAACATTTTTTAAATAAGTATTGTCATGTTGTTATTATTTCAGAAAGAAGAACACAAAAAAGTGCAAAGACCGAGAGGAAGTGTGCATTTAGCGGTATGCATGCTAGTATTTTGTTCATTTTTTTATTTGAAATATATTTCCTTAGAATTTTTTTTTTCAATATAAGATTTCATTACTATTCTATTCCTGTTTCAAACCTATATATTTTGTCATGTAATATGAAAGCACGTTGAGGTTTTGCCTCTGAGAAAGGAAAAAATGTAACTGTCCCTTTCAAAAGCTGGATATCATCATTTAACAAGACCTGAAATACTATTGTAATATCTTTGGGAATTGCAGTCACCCAGGGGGATGCTGACTCCTGCAATAATGGCTGTTAATGCTTTATTTACAGGGTGCAGTGATTTCCCCTTCAGATGAAGACTCACAGACATTTAATGTGAATGCTGCAAATACAGAAATATATAGGTTACGTGGTAAGTTACTTGTTGTATTTAAAACTTCATGATGGGGGGGGGGGGGGGGGATTGTACTTCAGATGATGAAGTACAATTACAAAGTAAAAAAAGCTTACTTTTTACTTAGTAGGGTTTTATTTTTAAGCACTTAAAGAAGTACAAACACAAAAACATTAGAGGTTGTTAATTTTTATATCTGAGGATGGCATGGTGGTGTGGTTGTATAGGTGAAAAAGTCTGCTCAGTTGACAACCTAATTTCTCCACTTTCAAGTGAAATAAGCCCCCATGCAGGCAATTAAATAAATAATTATGTCTAAATAATTTTATACTAAAAATTTTAACAAGTTTTCAGACATGTTTATTGGATATGAAATCAATTTGAGTATGATATTTTTGAAGAAAGATTCTTAAAATCTTCATAATGGTGAACAATGAAATACAATGTCATGGCACAACATATAGGTCATGTAAAATGATGATGTACACAGTTCCAATTGTGTGATTCCTACTTTGCAATTTGGTTTCAAATGTTTGACAGAAATGATTACTGACTCAATGGCTCTGGGTCAGAGATTTGTTAGCTGGTTAAACCGGTTAAATATTTTTCCTACTGGCTCAAATGGTTTGTAATGTTCTCTACTCTATTATGTGATACACAAATAAGTATTTATAGCATTGCATGTGCAACATTTCGATAAACAATTGAGAGCTTGGATCAATCTTGCTGATTGTATATTAATTTAGTGAACTTGCTAAAAAAAGACCCCCATTTAATTAGCAAAAGTAAATTCTTGATAGATAATACATTTGTTTTTCTACCTTTAACAGTTCAGTGGTCAGAGAATGTCAGCATGCCCTAGCTGTAGTTTATATTTGAAGAGATGGTTTTGTAACAGTTAGATGTACAAATGTCAAACAAGGTATAAATCTTCATTTTGGTCATGTTATTTTATTTCAGCTTCAGATGCAAAGGAAAGAGTTCACTGGGTGAACAGGTTGAGGGCTGTAGCAGAATATCACAGTAATAACATAGCACAGGTATATGCTTGAATCTCTCTTTCTCTTTTTCTTGCTGTCTTTATGTGTCTTTGAACAAGCATGTGTTATTAATCTTTCAACATATAGCATGAGAGTTAAGATAAGTTTTTTTCTCAACCAAACCAGAGGCACCATAAAAGCTACTCCAAGTAGCAGTAATAGATCACAGTACAAATAGATCACAGTACAACACAATACAACACAATAAGTTTTATTTCATTTCGGGTAAAGGTTGAAGGGAAACATTAGCTTTGCAGCTATTCAATGACAGCGGAAAGCTGCTCACTTTCAGCAATTGTATTGTTAAAATATATTTGATTTGTTAATGAAATCTCTAACTATTCAAGGTGTTTACAGTTTTCTCTGAATTGTAAGAAGATACTTAAAAATTTCTCACTTATCTTGTCTGTGGTAACTATACCGTGTTATAAGTGATGGCTTGTCTTTCCAGAATGCGCCACCAATCTACAGACACGAATCTAGAACACATTCCTTTGCTCAAGAAACACTGCCTTCTGTAAACAAAAGGCCAAGTTCTTATGGAGATTTATATGACAATCAGCCCTCCACCACAGTGACTGTCAGGTAGGAATGGCAAACATTTTGTCTGAACTGAATTTTTGTTTTACTTCAAGACTTAGTCTCCTTTGCCAAAATATGATGATACTGATCATTGCCCCACTGTTTCAGATCACATCATAAGACTGTGACTACTGTCCCCTCGCCAGATCCTCTACACAACGTGAAGGAGGTGTTGTCTCAGGTCACAGATCACGAAGAAGAACTGGTGGACAAAATGGAGGTATGCACAGGGTGCAGCTAGGTCTTTCAAATAGTAGGCTAATTACTGCGTGCATATTGCATAATTATCACTCTTACTCTCATGTATGTATATATGTATGTATGTATGTATGTATGTATGTATGTATGTATGTATAGCTGTGCATGCAATTGCATACTTGTTCAAATAAGACTGCTGATGTATATTTATAGCACAGAAAGAAATAAGGAAAAGCTGTTCAAATATCAATTTTAGGGAAATATGAAACAATGCCCTTAATATCTCTCTAACTTTTACTATTTGAAAGTATATGGTGGTGTATGGTTGGGGTTTGAGGCAAAAATTTGACTTTAAATGCATTATCAATATTTAAGTTATGCCATGATTCACCTGATTCCCTGAGAACAGCCAGGTCAGATTTGTTTGATTATCCAGCAAAGTTTTCAGTGGTTTGTGTAAATTAATGATGAGCTCTACCGAGTTCCTCCGTCCCTCCGGTACATGAGATGGACTTCCTGCTCTGTTGTAGTTGATTTGATCTGGAATTGGAAGACATTAATATTTAATTGGGTTGTGTCTGAGAGAGATGTAGATCTGTTTTCTGTGTCTATTTGTGTTTTCTGAATTCCAGATATAGATTTTCCCCAACCTATGTCGCATCTATTGATTTATAGGTGTTTGGTGGTCTGTATGAACTTTGGATTTTTTTTTTTTTTTTGTCTTCTTTTTAAGTGAAGATTGTGGCCCATCATAATGCATGAATAAAGAGTACTAAAAACAAGTGATGGCAAAATCTGTTTGATAATCCTGCTTCTCTTGTTATCTCTGAAGTGATCAAAATGTTTGCTGGAAATTATCATTTAGTCATTTTTAGGCACAAGAAAGGTAGCGATGTTCTCCTTTAAATGTATTCCAGTTTATAAAAATAGATATCAGTAAGAATCCAGTATCCTGATTTGACCTTGGTTCCACCCCCACCCCAGAATTCTTTCCTCTTGAAATGTGTTGCTATGGTTACAGGTTAAAGTTTAAATATTTCTTAGCCTAATTTCCAAAATGCTTCTGCTCTATGCAAAACATTGCCTTTAAATTTTTTGCAAAAGTTGAAATAATGGAAAAATAATATATTTTGGCATTAATACACTGCATTATAAGGCACAGTCAAATGTGAGACAAACAGCATATTTTTCATTAAATCACAATCAGTGTAGAGTATAACTTAATACCTATTGGAAGATATCGGGATATTTGAAATTGTTGAAAAAAGTGTTGCCATATATTTTAGAAGAGACTGTTAAATTAAAACTCAGCTCCAGCAGACAACACACCTTCAATGACGAGAATGATGACATGTTTTCACTGACAACACTAGTATCAAAACCTTTTCAGAAAAAAATAAAGAAAATGTATTGTAATCAAATTCTTTTGATTTTGATTATAGTAGTTATGTCACCGGTCTTAATGAGTGAGTAGGTTGCAAAACTGAGTGCTGTTATTAATTGTGGAGTGCAACTTTGCATTCTATTGTCTAAATAGACCAAGTGTGATATGTACTCATCATATGTATTTTAATAATTACATTTCACATAAAAGTATTGATTTAAAATCTAAATGGCACTCCTATCCTTGGTCCTTAATTCTTCATACTCTTTATACTTTACATTTTATATTATTCTTATGCTGAAAGGATAAAAGGAAAGTTGACATATTGTTTACTTTTGATAAATGGACTGTTGGATTTCCAAGAGTGAAGTACAGTCTGTTGTAATTTAAGAGTTTTGCTTTCCACCATGGTGACAACATTATTGATGCAATAGGTTGAGGCCCCAGGTTTCCTTTTCTTGAATTAATTTGAATAATTGATGGGAACCTGTCATAATGTTCTCCTTGGTCACCACTGTGGGCTCTCTCTTTCATCTCTCCTGATTAATTTGATCTCTATGGTGAAACAGCTGTGAGCCACAGGGATTGGCATCATATTTGAACCAGACTTTGATTTTGGATGCTGTGCCGTGACATCAGGCTTATAATCATTTAATACTGTGGGGATTCAATTCAATTCTGACTTTTCCTGGTTTTAGCTCTTGTGGAACAGGCAGTGATGTATGTATTGCAAGTACTTCAATGATTTTATGGTGTTGTGTTTGCAACTTAGTTTTTTGTCAGAGACTTATAAGTATTCACCTAACCTAACATATTTTCTACCTGAAGTCTAAAATTTTCATCATTGTGGTGACGATTTCTTGTTGTGTTCTGCTGCCTGCCTTTTACAAAGGTGAGTTTCAGTGGGTTTTGCTTTAGTTTGATTTCTATGCTTTGACTCAGGACAGCTAGGTTCTGCTTTAACAAACCTTTCAGATTGATAGTGTTTAAGTACAGGGGTGGTAAGGGATTGAAGTGTGTCCCTTCTTTTGAGTTTTAATCATATTGCAGTCAGAGAAAAAATAAAATTGGACATAAAAGAACAAGGGTATGTGGAACGATTATAATTTATCCTAGGCATAAATTGTTGAGCTGTTAAATTGCCTTGTAACTGAAAAGTTGATTGGGGAGGGCAATTAATATAATAGTAATTAATATAATATTTCCTTAGATGGATCTTGAAATTTAAGATGACATCTTAAGATTTCTTTTCTTTTCTTGGGTGATTTTGGGTTGTTATAGCAGCACGTCACAATCTGATTTGTTGAGATTTGCATCACATAGTTATTATCATTCTGAACAAAGTAAAGATTACAGCAAGATTTGAAAGCTTGCATGGATTCAGGGTGTACATGTAGGTGTTATGAAGCCAATTTGCTCCAATTTTCACAGAGGATATAGCAGTTACTTGCTTGAAATAAGAGACCTATTTACATCTGAAGCAATTAGCACCTTTATATTCCATATCCTCTGTAAATAAAGATGAACCTGTTCATTTGAATACATGGTTTAAAAAATCAATATCATTAGGTGCAGAACATGATATTCTAATCTGTAAGCAACAGCGCTCTGACGGGAAACAGGTGAGAGGGGTCCTCATTAAGTTTATCTTCTCTTAAGTTTGTGTTGTAGACAGAGGTAAGGTGTACTTGACTGCTTGAAGGGGGATTTGGAGGAAACCTTTAGATGGAAATATCATTAAATATCCATTGAGATAAGATATTGATGTTCACTGGGAAACAAGGCTGTTACATGTAGCTAAGGGATTGTTTTGTCATGTGGGAGGTATATGCTGTTAAAAAAAAACATCCTGGATACCTTATGATGGTTTTGTTTTAATAGAAGTATATTGCATCAAGAGGTTATTAATGTGTAATATAAGACTGATCTTTTCATGTTTTAACTCCGGATCCCAGTGTCTGAGAAAAAGGACATGAACATGACCACGCCACTTTGTTGATCTGGAAAGTGATTTGGGGGTTTAGGTTGCAGTCTAATACAGTAATAGACCAAAGCAATGAGGCCGTGTCATTTTCGTCCATTTCAGTGAATTTTTTATGTTCTTAAGAGCTGGAAATCAATATGATCATGTTGCATTTATCACTTTCATTATGTCACTATTGTCTGTCATGAAACAGACAAATGTGAAGGCTTCACATTGTGCTTTGTTACAATGTATCATAGATGGTACACTCACATGCAATATTATTTTCTATTTTTAGGAACTTCCCAGCTCAGGTCACTTTCTGAACTCTCTGGATAAGGTAAAGGGCAATTTGACTATATAATATACCCAATAGTCCACCCATCAGATACAGTATCTGGCTTGGAAAATAATGACATAATTTCAATATGTAAAAAGGGTTTACTTCAACTAAGATTTAAATAAATACCAGACTAAAAATTTTTTTTAGGAAATCCTGTTATTAAAAGCCACCTCAAAAGCTACAGTTCTATGCTTGGAGCAGTGTATGAACATGTTACAACAACAAGCTAGTGGAGTCCACGCGGGCAGAGGATTGGACTGGTGAGTTTGCTAAAATTATATTTTTGTGCTATTTCTAAGTTTTCACAGTATTGATTGCCATAACAAGTTTTTTTAGCATGATTGTGCTAATTGCTTTACCCTGTTTTTCCAGTAAAATTGTGTTGATTCTTATTTCTAAGTCTCCACGTGTGAAATGTGTTGATTGCAGTTTCCAGTTTTCCCAGCATGAATTTTTCCCAGTATCAATTGTTGGTTGTAATTTCCAGGTCTCCCAATATGAAGTCCAGGTCCAGCACCAGAAGCAGCTCTGTGTCGTCTATCATCAAAGAGAACCTGCTACCTCTAGAGCAGCAAAGTATAACAGGTAAGATGTGCAAGCTTGGCATACTGTTGTGAAGAAATGGAATCTAATGTTTTGGTCTTCTTTGAAGCAGTGTTGATTTTGTGTAAATAATTTACTTCTCACAGTGGTTATGGATGACATCTTTTCAAAACGACCAGTCTAAATTGCTGTAATAAATGTGATAAATGAAGGTAATTATGATCTGTTATTATCTATAATTACTATAGCTCACCTTATATTTGCAGTCCCAGTCAACCATGATGACGATGTATCAGATGAACATGGCTACACGGACACAGACCTGGGAGGAGTGGAGGAACATAAAAGTGTCATTCTACATTTATTATCACAGTTGAAGTTGGGAATGGATCTTACTCGGGTAGGTTTTTGTGTGCATCCTTACATGGATGAGTTGTAGTCTTGGTTCTTTGACATAAATACCCCCATTGTGGTTGTAATCTGGGTGCATTGACATAAATACCCCCATTGTGGTTGTAATCTGGGTGCATTGATATAAATACCCACATTATGGTTGTAATCTGGGTGCCTTGCCATGAATGCCCACATTATGGTTGTAATCTGGGTGCCTTGCCATGAATGCCCACATTATGGTTGTAATCTGGGTGCCTTGCCATGAATGCCCACATTATGGTTGTAATCTGGGTGCCTTGGCATGAATACCCACATTTGGTTTGAACATGGTTGTTGCGGCAGAGATGGTTAACTTTTTTATGTTTTAATATTATAAGTTATGCAGCATTCTAACATATATTTTATTTTCAATCATCTTATTTTCAGGTGGTGCTGCCGACATTTATTTTAGAAAAGAGGTCATTATTAGAAATGTTTGCAGACTGTATGGCTCATCCAGATATATTTGCAAAGTAAGTGAACTTAAGGCACATGGCAGTGAAAATTTGTTTTGAAATGTAACACAAACAAAGACTTATAATCACTAGGTGTTTAATTTATAGTATGAGATCATAAAAGTAAGGTCTAAAATTACTTCATTTTGGAAATGAATTTATATGAGATTGAGGAGAGTTGGAACCACCTAAATTGGAATGCAAGTCTAGCTTTCATGGCAAATTCATTTGAGGTGAATTATTGACCCTGACATCTTTGAAGAATTCTTAGAACTCCATTACTCAAGAATTGTTTTAGCCAGAAAATGTGTACAGCATCATGAAGTGGAAATTTACCCGAATATGACACACTGAATGTTGTAGAATTCCAGACTGCACAGATCCAGAAAGTCGAATGCTCCAAGTGGTGGAGTGGTACCTGACCTCATTCCACGCTGCACGCCAGGGTTCAGTTGCTAAGAAACCGTACAATCCAATCATTGGAGAAACATTTCACTGTTCCTGGGACATCCCACAGACGCTGGGGGATGACACACAATCTGACAATATAAGATTGACATACTGTGCTGAGCAGGTGTCTCATCATCCTCCTAGTATGTAGATTTACATTTTAACATGTCTCATAACACCTGCATGCACATAATTGTGACATATGGAAAAAATAAAAAAGATTTTGACAACAGCATATTGGATATTTACTGCAATTCTTTAATTTTGAACAGTTTTATGCTTATCATAACAGGTGAAATTACCTTTGTTGATATCTCAAGATGTCACATCTTGTGAAATCTCGTTTTTAGCATCTTTCAGTTAGATTTGTCTCATTAAAAAGAATTAAAATGGGTCTTTCTTGTAGTTTCAGCATTTTATTTTGAATGTCCAAAGAAAAATATGTATGTGAACGCCTCCATTTGGACCAAGTCCAAGTTTATGGGAATGTCTATAGGTGTAGTTATGGTAGGAAAAGGTGAGGAATCGGTGTTTGTCTTTAATGCTGATATAAAAAAAACACATGTTAGCCATATTATTTTCTTTGGAGTGGCTCTTATATTCTCCAGCTTTGAAAACATGGGTGATGCTCCAATTTTCTGCAAGGATTGGACTTTCAAATTAAGTTGTGTTGTTGCAATGTTGTATGCTGTTTTTTAAATTTTTTTTTCAAGTACTATTATTTATTTGTTTTTATCTATGGTAGAGCACAATGAGGACTATGTATTTACAACTCCAGTGATTTTCTCTCTGGTAGAGCTCTTAGTTAGGACTATGCATTTACAATTTCAGTGACTTTATCTCTGGTAGAACACAATGAGGACTATGTGTTTAGCCTGCCGAGTGCCTATGCCAGGTCCATTCTGACCTATCCCTGGGTGGAGCTTGGTGATAGAGTGACTATCACATGTCAGCAGACTGGATATGCAGCTGCTATAGTGTTTCATACTAAGGTAATACATTGGTGCCCCATCATTGAAATTCATAATCAAGTTTATAAATCAAAATTATACATTTATGTTATGTGTCAAAGGCTTAAAAGGCTTGCAGTATGGTATTCAGTTATGCACACAGGCTTAATAGAAAGGTTTATGAATCTTTACACTACATGTAGGTTGGACTTTATCAGTGTAAAAATTAATTCGCAACTGTGACTTTAGACGGATTTCATTGGAAAATGGATCCCAGTAGTTAAAAAATTACCTTCAGGTCACTTTTCTTCTAGCCCTTTTATGGTGGCAAACTGCATCGAGTTTCAGCTGAAGTAAAGAACCCAGAGGGCACTGTGATATGTAAAGTAAATGGGGACTGGAATGGGACTATGGAGTTCACCAATACCTCAGCTGTAAGTACTGCTTGTCACATGCACACTGGACACTGCCACATGAAGTGATTAGAGAGTAAGATGTGAATCTTTCAATTTCACAACAATCCCAGACACTGCTCAGCTTAAACATTTTTCTGTCGTCAACATTTTCATTTTTTACATCATACCTCGGGCATTTTATAAACACGTTTAAATTGGTGGACTGTGAATATTTCAGGGCACCAGTAAGGTTATAGATGTTAGTAAGCTGGAGATCAAGAGAAAGAAGGTGCGACCCATGAGCAAACTGGGAGATTTTGAATCCAGGAAATTATGGCAGCATGTCACCAATGCTTTGAAGTTAGGGGATATTGAGACTGCCACGGAACACAAAAGATTTGTGAGTTCTCTCAAAACTTAAAGCATTGTTGTCCAAAAACTGTCAAAGATCCTTTACACGTAAAAAGACCTAAATTAGAACCATCGTGAGATGAAATTTGTTTTTGGAGAATTGTATATTTTGTGATCCGTTTTCCTTTTGTAAGCAGTAATGTGATTCTGTTCTAGCTGGAAGAGAGACAAAGAGAAGGTGAGAAATACAGAAAGGAGACTAATACCCCATTTGCAGCAAAGGTAAAATGTCATTTTTTGTAGAAGTTGTTTAGTTAGTTTCAGGATTGTTTAAAGTCTCATAGGATTCTATTTGACTCTTTAAGTGTAAAGATTGGCTGAAAATTACTTGTAACTTAAAGTTTTACTCTATAAATTGAATGGGCATGACACAAGAACCTTGCTAGTGGGAAATTAAACTTTTTTCACCTATTTTGTCATTTATCCAATTTTTAAGTGGGAGAACTAGACTCAGATGGCATGTTTTTTTCTTCATGAAAATTATTATTTTATTTTATTTTCATACTTTGCTCCCTTTCAGTATTTCAACAAAGAGGGAGATGTGTGGGTGTATAAAAAGACTTTGAAGAAGTAACAGATAAAAGCTACATCCAAAGTATACCAAGCCAGGCTCCTTGGTATAAAGCACCTGCTGTGGTGCTGCTGGTGCTGACATCTGTTGGTGGAATAGAAAATCAATCTCAGCAAGGGTATGCCATCATGTCCTCTGTGGTAAAAGGATGAGATGGTGTATGTGGCAAGCAAGCCTATTTATTTACTTCAGGTCCATATTGTACGTGCACAGTGAAGTATAGAATTATCAAGTGTTACATGTTATGTGAATTTTACAGATACCACAGTTGTTTAAGATTATGAAAAATGCCAAATAAATGAGGAAGTGATGTTTGTTATATTTTATGTACATTGCTAAAAATAATTTATATTTTTCCATAAACACCCTAAAGACCACAGCTAATAAAAAGCTGCTGGCATAGGATTAGACATACATTGAAGATTACCGAGAGTTTGTATGTAGAAATGATAGCAAATGTTGTCACATTGTGCTAAAGTTTAGAGACTGAAGACACTCCTGATGTATATGTAGAACTATTATGCCCATAAAGCATCACAGTATGTTTCAATATATGTACATAGTAGACAAAAAAGTGCCACTTAGCAATTGCATTCAATCAATTTCTTGGTACCATTTTCTGCATTAAACCAATTCTCTGGGGGATCTAAAATATTTACAAGCAACTGATTACATGTGCTGCTGAAGTAGCTTGCTGAATATTTAAAATAGGTTATTGGGAGCAGAACACATGATACTGTTGCAAGTAATGGCCTTTACCCTTGTGCTTGTGTACTGTGAGACAAACTGATTAAGAAAGGAAAAGCAGTTTGATTTTGGGAAAGAAATGTACAAACTGTAAGCCTTTTGGGATATAAGGATTCAAGTGAGTGACTTGTTATATCAAAATATATGATTGAGGGAGATTCAAATATGCCTTCATCTCTGTTCTAGCTACAGGATCTATATCTCACCAGATGTGGCATGGGTAGTTAGTATCACAGGTCAAACACATAGCTGATGTAGTGCAGTGGTTCACAGTATAGGCATATCATGGGATGTAGGTTTCCCAACTTCCCTTTCATGTTAAATATTCAGTCTTGTAACACAAGATTATGCTAAATCAAAATTGTTCTTTTTTTTTAAGTCTTGAATATGTGCAACACATTATATTTAAGTTCAGTACTTGAAGCACACCATTTTTTTTCATTGGGGGGAGGGGGGAATACTGGAAACTCACCTCTGTTATAAATAGATACATGCAGAGACAGTATCAGAGAGCTTGGATAGAGGCAAGTCACTTCCAGTTCTTTGAAACTCTGGGTGAGGTGGAGAGCAAAATTCTTAGTACGTAATGTCTCTTGTACCTTTTTAGTAAATAATGAAGCTCGTCATAGGTAACTGTGAAACATGCTATTTCTTGTAATAACATATTTGTAGAATATAATTAGTATCCTTGGGGGGATATAAAATACCTGTTAGTTCAGTAGCACTAGTATCAGACTAAATAGAGCTCCTGGCTGAAATATTATTAATGTCAGTTACTGAACTGTTTGGATGTGGGGGGGGGGATGCTTTGTGTATAAATGTGCAATAATGTGTGCATGCTAGTGTAGAAGTTATATTAAAGCAATAACAGTTGACATAAATGGACAAAGAAAGAGGTGATCAAATTATTAAGTTTCTGCAAAATAAAGAACTATTGTATTTTACAATTTAGTGTTCAGAGAGTACTCTTTATATCATCTTATAAACAGTGGGTTGACATGAAAAACCTTAAGATCAATTGTTTTAAAAATTGCACTTTATTAAAAACTTTGGTCCTTACTTTATGCTCTGCATTGACAGGACTATCTATGGCACACACAATACAACATTTTCACTTCGTAAATAACTTTCTACAAAAATTAATTAGGATGATATTGAAAATTCACAAATGAAACCAGTGAAATGTTTTAAATGGAAAAATTTGTACATGTCCTTAAGATTAAATAAGTATTAGAAATAACACGAGTAAATTGGCACCTAAGAAATTATTCCTAATTTCTATCACATATTCTTAAAAAGCTCCTCAGATGTAGTGGCTAGATTTTTTTTTTTCACTATCCATCTTATTTAATTCTGTTATGTGCTGGGTGTCTGGCTCATGAAATCTGCCCTCCATCACTATATAGCTTGTACACAAGCTGCAAAGAAATTTTTTTTAAATTTTACATGAAATAGATGGTTTTAATTTCCATAATAACTACACAGTCCAAACATTGCAACTTACCTCGTCTGTTACTTGGTCATTAACTGTTAAATTAGCCAATATTAAATTATTCACTGCATGGCACTCATGGCGTAAATTTTATCTAGCAAGTTAAAAATGACCACATAATGATAATTTACCTCAGATCTTAAGAAAGAGCTTGGAACTTACACTTTTAAACTTCTGAGCCAATCCTTCTACAAACTGTTGTGGGGTCTTCCCATGGGGCACCATGGTGTTCAGCTCTCTTCCTTCAACACGGCTTCATACTCTGCAAGCCTGTCAGAGGGAAGCAGGTCCTCCAGTGGATCCATCTAAAGGAACATAAAACTCCTTGTATATAGATATATTAAGAGAGAGAGATGCAGAAACTGGAAGTGAGAGAGAGACAGAGAGTTCCAACGTACCGTTTTCATTCTTTCCTTCATTTCCTGCTCTCTCCTTGTATCACAGATGAATGCAAACACAGACGCTCCTTCCAGATACTTCACCTGAAAGATGGGATAAACACAATAATAATCATTTCAAGGATAAACACTGATATGTAGTTGTAAACTTCCAAAAAAAATAAGGAGTCCAACTTCTTAATCTGAAGACACATAGCCACAATTAAGACATAGATTAATCTAATGAACCATTTCAAATAGAGGCAATTCAAATTGATTTTTCTTTTTCCAATTTAGACTGACAAGAAAACTACAGGCCATGAATTCATTTAAATTCACACATCTGATGGTCATACATATAATTAAACTCACAGACTTGTTAGCCACAGCCTTAGGAGCCCATTCCCAGACTGGTTCCTTGGTCAGCTGTTTCAGCAAAGCTGCACTGGGAGCTCCTCTGAACAGGGGCAGTTTATACAGGTCAAAGTTCACATAACCATTACTAAACACAGGGAGTGCTGTCCAGGCCTGACAAAATATAGGTCAAAGTTCACATAACCATCAATAAACACAGCACTCGGAACTACTCGGATGTTTCCGCACTCAACAATAACCTTGGATGTGATATGATGGCATCCATGTTGATTATTGGGAAGGAACTACTTTCAAGCTCAATTTACTCATACAGACCATAATCCTTTGTACGCAACAGGAGTGCTGGAATTTTTCCTTCAAATCAAAGTCAATATGAGTACATTCTTTAGCAAACTGTAAAGCTTCAGAAAAATCAGTAGTAATGAAAATATCACTGTTGTTAGCCATGTTTATGCGTGGAAAGTTGAGTGAGAAGGCATTTCCAGCAGAGAAAATGCATGGATTTGATACATATTCCTGCACCTATCACATCCGAGGTTAGTATGGAGCTTGCGGCATCAGCCAAGGATTGCCGATTGTAAACACAGGGAGTGCTGTCCAGGCCTAACAAAATATAGGTCAAAGTTCAGTAACCATCAATAAACACAGGGAGTGCTGTCCAGGCCGGCCTAACAAATATAAGTCAAAGTTCACATTTCAATAACATTGGGAGTGAAGAAATATAGGTCAAATTTCAGGTTGAAAATAAATGAAGCACTGGCCAGGCCTAATTTATAGGCCAAAATTCACATATCACTGAAAATATAGACCCAAGTTAACACAACATGTTTGGGAAGTGCAGTCACTGCCCAAAGTTATAAAATAATAGTGGGGACTGTCAAAATCTAGGAATATACAGTGTATGAATGTATAATCAGGGATGAGACTGCCATTTTGTGAAAAAGTCAGAAAATATGGCATGATATTTTTAGTACCCAATAAGTTGGAAATCTGCTGATAGTCTGAATAACCTCATCCCTGTATATTACATTTGAAGGTCTTTGAACCAAATCATATTGCAACGTATAAGCATTTCAATTAGCCAATTGTTTCACTCCACATCATTTTTCAAGTACCTGCTCCATCAATCCATATTTGTAGCTGTCTTTACTGATGTTGACTGCAATCTCTTGTATATGAATAACAACACACATATGTCTATGTAGATGTCTGCTGGGAAAATGCTGCAAGTAGGAAAAAAGTTACAGGTATAAAGCATGGTTAATAGCCAACTTGTGTTCAAACAAACTTTTTCTACTGCTAGCCTCTTGAAATTCATATTTCAGGTTAAATTATATTGCCAGACTTCAATTTAGTTTCTAAATCAAGTCCACTCTACAACAGTGGGTTATACTACCTACACTCAACCAACCTTATAACTGTGGGTTATACTGTCAGCCCTCAACCCATCCCATGACTGGGTTATATTATATATCAACCCTCAACCCATCCTATGACTGTGGGTTATATTATCAACCCTCAACCCACACTATAACTGTGGGTTATTATGTCTTCCCTGAATCCATCCTAACCGTGGGTTATAAATACATACACTGAACCCACCCTACCTTTGTGGGTTATACTGCTAACCCAGAACCCAGTATACTACATGTACTGTGGGTTACATTACCTTCAACACACTATAACTACCCTTACCCCACCACACTATCATGGGTTTGGGTTATAACACCTACCATAAACCCATCCTCCCACTGTGGGTTCTTGTTGGTGCTTGTTAACATCAGTTTTTCTGTGAAGACAGGTTTATCATAAGCTGCATGAGGGTTACCCTGGAGCATAAAAAATTTAAACATGTGAAGGTCAGTCATCTTTAGACCACAGTAGGCATTTATAATATCAAAAATTCCAAATAGCTGTAAAGTATATGCACTCATCTGATTACCTTGTAGAAGGCTCCTGGTGGATTCAGGCAGATCTGAGCATGAGTGAAGTTGGTCCAAGGGAGGTTTACAGCACCATCTACACGCACCTGGGTGAAAATATGACAAGAAACAGTTGAAAGTGGATCTTTTGCAGCCAGAAAAAAAAACAACATTACTATCCAATAAATTGGCAGTATACCTTTTGTAGTTGTTTTACTCATATCACTATACCTTAATGCCGTGTTTTGGGCTGTAGGGCACTACATAGGCAGGATGCATGTCTGATGGCTGTACTCCCGGAGGTTTGATTAGCTGCTCCTGAAATGAGCAAAATTAAATAGTTCAATCATATTTCTGGTAGTCCCAGTACTTGTTTCTGAAACAAGTATATAGTCAGAAAAGTGACAATTTCTTTCATATGTCAACAGTTTATCTTTTTCATACTTAATACAAATTAGCTTATCATAATCAGAATAAAATGTGACGTAAGAAAAGGGGTGCAATACCATGTTGTCACACAAGCATATCCACTTACAGTGATGAAGTTGGCTATACTATCCTCTGTCCTTAGGTTTCTTAGTTCTCTCTGCTCTGCCACCAGTTCTATGGACTTCTGTGCTGTGATGGGTGTCCTCTGTGCCAACACCTGGAGAATGGAGACTTCCTGTGGGCCTGGTTCACATGACATTGATAGATAAACTCTACTACTGTAAGCTGGAGCAGGCACCCAGAGACCAAGACCTTCCCAGTCAGTTTGAGGGACCTGGTCTATCTGAAAGTGAAGGTGAAAGTGAAATGGTTGTTTCCAGTCAGTTTGGGAGGAACTTGTCTGAGGGTCCCACTGGGCATTTTGGTTACCCATTACTGCAACTTTTTATTACCAAAGCTGGGTGAACAATTTATGTTATTTAGCATTATCCAGGTTAATCATGATTTTCAGGATTTTCAGAGTGTATATTATCAGTGGAAAATGAATTTAGATTGATTTTACTGTGATTTGTGAATTGATGATTATACAGGTATTTCCCGTGAACTGTGATCACCCCCCTCCCAACTGATGGGACCCTCTTGTCTTTCTGAGAGTAAAACTATAAGTGTCATGGAGGTTACCAGGCTGGTTGGAGGATCTGGTTTCTCTGAAGGTGAACGTGTCCTTGACAGAAAGACCAGCTTTGGCTGGGACCCAGAGCACAGGACATCTTCAGTCATTTTTGATGTATCAGGTCTTTGTATAAATCAAACTAACAATGGTGCATCCCCCTAAAACAGCACTTTTAACATCCTCAAACATGTGAAGGAAATAAAATAATATAATTTTTGTTTAAGTTTTTGCATAGGATACGTATGTTTAATTCATTGGTTACAAGCTGGCCATGCCACTAATCTACTTACCTTAAGCGGTTGACCATTGTAATCTAAGGCAGCGCTGACCAATCTGACCAAGATAGTGGCCCCAGAAATGTATCCCACAGCTCCGTCGTGTAGGCATGAGCCTGTATATGGTTCCCCTTGCTGAGGTCCACTGAAATATAGACGCAACTGGTGGGCACCCTTATTCAGAGAGATCTGGAAAATATAGAGGTGAACAGTTTGTTCTTAGAGATCAGAGGGAACAACTTTGGTCTATGATCTTAATACTGACATAATCAAAGATAACACATGTAACACTTGACTGCTGCATGACATTCATTGAAATGAGCTCGCACAATCAATCTAAACCAGCAATTTTATATGGCTGTACAAAATACTTTCAATATGAAGCACAGTTTTCTAGCAGTACCTGGGCATCAGTGTTGTCATCTTCTGGCTGAGTCTCAGTTCCAGATTCCACAAAAATGTTGAGAACTGCATAAGCACTGACTAAGGGATGGTCTTCCACAAATCTCTCACGTGTATAGATCTACAAAAATAACAGTTGCAGGTTAATCATTTTTATGTAAATAGCAATTTGAACTAAAAATGTCTTGAATGCAATTCCACGCAGGACGGCAGATCTGATTACCTTTAGTAATAATGTAGCTGTAGGTGAGATGTTTGGGTCCCTCATCTCTAGCCTATAGTTATACACCGGATTGTAAATGTCATCGCTGGTTATCCGAATTGCAGCATCCACAACACCACCAAAGAAACGACCGTCTCTACTGAGGATTGTACCAGCAACCTGGAATAAGAAAAATTCTTGTAACTTATATCTGACCATCAAACCACAATTACTGAAGGAGATTTTATTATATCTGACTATGTTGCTGTCACCTAAGTTTTTCACAAAACTTCTTCAGTGAAAGTGTTTTTTTTTTTTCTTTACCAGTTTTCATACCTTAGAAAATGTGACACCATCTGGCATATTTTTGCATGCATCTATGTAAATATCAAATCCCTGGTCTTGATTGTAGGGTTCACTTGGAGGTGAGCTCCTCTTGCATGGTAGCCAAGCATTCTGGAAATTATACAAAAAGAATCACCAAATAAAAGGTAATCAAAAACATTAAAAGTACTGGTTGGCCCGTATGTTCAAATGTCTAAAAACATTGTTTGCTTTTTCATACATATCTGACATGTGTTAGGGTTTGAAATCCCTCATCATTTAACAAAAAACATATAACATCATACTAGAAAAAATAATAACATACCACATCAGTCTAAAAATAAACACAGAGAGAGAGAAATAATAGAGAAATAATCTCTCTCTCTCTCTCTCCCTCAAAAAAATTAATTTAAAGATATACAAAGATAAACAAGGCATTTGACAAATACCTTAGGCAGAGTATCATCTTCTTGGTCTGATGCTTCACTTGGAGTGAGGGAGCCAGGGCGGGGTTTTCCATGGAACAGTCTAAGCCGTAATGTGGCTCGTCTGAACCTCCTAACTCCCTGGGGCTTCCATCCCATCTCCAGGGAGATAGTGTCTGTCTCTGGTACTGGAGGCTCATACAGCAGCACTGTGTGAGTGCCAGTATTCACAGTGGACTGGTTGATGTTACTTCTATGATAACTGCTATACATATCACCTAGAAATTTAAGTCATAATATGGATCCTGTCCTATAAGTGTTTTAACGTTTAAAAATGATGCTTGCTTTACCAAAGCTTACATGTTATAGATACTGTTTACACAACTGATAATTATTTCATTGATTAGTTTAAACATACAGAATGTAATCTACTTCAAAACTGTCAATTTCTTCCATCTATATGTGTCAGTATTCCCCATTACTTCCCACTTACTCCTCCTGCCACTGGTGACAACTAGAGGCACTGCCCCCCAGGCAACCAGAGTACTTTCATCAAAATGTGAGTCATCGTCATCATCTCCCGTCCTCCTCTGGAGATCATTCTTACTCAGATACACTCTAGCAATGATCACTATATCAGGTTGAATGTTTACTCCTTGGAATATGGCCTCTTGCTGCCCAAAAACGTGATACTTGTACTTGAAGTCAGAAACTACACTACTGGTGCTGCAAGTTACTGGCCCTGTGACAGACTGGACAATCTGAAACACAAGCAATTAGTGATAGCTGTACATATATTCAAACCATCTTTAATCTTGTCATAATATCACACAACTGTTTAATACATACATGCACTACCCCTAACGTATAAGTTTTACAAATTACATAATACATGCAAAATAAGAAATTACTTACCAAATAAGCAAAATATATTCGTATCATAATAGAGAGAGTCAACTCTCCTGATTAAATTGAATGTGCAATACATTCTCAACAACATATTTTGTTTTTGAGAATAAAGGCATTGTCATTGTCATTGTCACATAAAGAGGGGGACAGGTTCAGCATGATGTACGTACTTTCCCAGAGTGGATGTGATACACTGCCAGTCGCACCTTGGCCAAACCCTGGTCTGCACCCTTCACATGGCCCACCTGGAACCCCAGGGTCTTACTCTCTCCTGGGGTCAGCACACCTCTGGTACAGGGAAAACAAAGAGCATCTGGTCATTTTCTGTCATTTTTTTAATGTGTAGATTTTTTTAATGCTATGGTGAAACTATTCAACATTTGAGCACCAGAAAAACTGATTATATTTTAAAACACTCTTATTTTTCTAAACATGCTAATCACTTAAAATCAAGACTTTTGAACACAAAGACATAAGCATTTGTATAAAGTTCATGCTATCTGAACAGTTAAAATAATATATAAATATCTTCAAAAGGAAAAAAACTAATGTAATCAATCTTTTAACACTGATTTATTGATTACATTAGTTTTTTGCCTCATAGCCGCACCACCTAAACTATTGCACTTATTACAAAATAAAACCATTTTTTTTCAAAAACAAAAAATACCAATATATCTGTACAGACAAAAAACAGAAAATAAAAATGCAGAAAATAGGTCATTTTGTCATTTTTGATGCAATAATAAATAATGCTGTCAATCAACAACACTGAATTTTAATCATGAACAACAGATAACATGGTCAATAACAGGAGCGAACAGAAGAGATATTTTCTGACAGTATTCCAAATTAATTTTGTTGATCCATCCTCCATTTTTGATGGTCTTTCAACAGAAAAAAATAGATACCCGTCAATGTAAACATTAAAATCTGACAGTCTTCAGAAGGCCCAGAAGACGGTCTCAATCCGCCCCTGCAATAAGATTACAGTTTCAGGACCACGAGAGTTCAAATTCACATGATGAAAATCGCAATATTTGAAAAAATGATGACAGTGCAAAAAATAATACTACATAATGTTTAAAGACATAAATACCAATACAACTGCTTGGATGGAAATACAGAAAATATGCAAAGGTTCAAATAGATGGGAGTTAAAAGTCACATCTTGAAAATGCCAGTGTTTAAAAAAAATTAAAAAAAAAAAACAAAAATATTCCAATAAAGCTGCTATTCAAACTTTCAATCTTGCTGTATTAACATGATATGAATAACCCCATTGAGTTTGAGGATACATAAGTCACTGTTATTCATTTATAGCATTAATATTGGCATTACACAAAATATATATATATTTATTTATTTATTTTTATTTTTTGAAAACTTATTTGCAATATTAAACAATATTTACCTGCATAATTATCACTGCTTCCTTATTATGGACACTTATCTGGCAGAGAACTTAGCCTATGGGAGTTTACAGTATCAACAAGTGTGTTTTACGTAATCTCATTTAATGGCCACTCGAATCTTAATTGACTTTATAGCTCTGAACTTATACCCAAGGGAAAATTACAAATGTGACTAGTAAAGGTCTTCAGGCCCATCAGTCACACCTTAAAATGATGCAGAAAATAGGTCATTTTGTCAATTTTGATATAATAATAAATAAAGTTTATAACAGCACAATCAACACTTAAAAGGATAATAACTCTTTGTATGAGATCTATATCAAGCCTACCCAACTACCAGACTCGGCACCGAATGATCCTGATTTCACCGGCAGATCAGACCACACTACCCGTTTTCAAGGTGTGTGTCAGATCGCATTACACAGTATCATACCCTGAACAAATTTTGAGTGGTGATGCAATGCTTTCCAACCCTGCTGAGAATCGTCACTATCACATCGCGTACTAGGCAAGAGCGATGTTGCGTCTGATACTGTAAAATGTGTACTGATACACACCTTAAATATGGGTAGTGTGGTCCGATTTACCGGTGAATTCAGGATCATTCGGTGCCGAGTCTGGCAGTTGGGTAGGCCTGTATATTTCACAATAAGACATTGTAAACAACTCATAGAAATATAATATATTCCATTTTACAACAAAAACGGCAGTTATAGCTATTATTCTGATATCTGAGCTTGTCATCGGATGACGAGACCTCCATAGATGGCTATACTGTGTTATAATCTCTTCAGAGATTATTACAAAAACAGAAAAAAAACTTTTTAGAAAAAATTCAGGGACTAACTTTGAATGTAGAAATTGATTCATTAACTTTATAGACCTTAAGTGACTTTATAGACCTTAATTTAATTAGTGATAACCCAAGGGACAATTTCATACCGACCACCGTCCATACAGTACCATCATATAGCACTCTATAGAACTGCATTGCTTACAAAACAGAAATCAATCACACTGATTTTCCTCACAAGCTGCACTTTTCAGTAAGTACCATAAGTAACATGGTTTTCCCTTGATGGTCATCAGTGTCCAAAATAGTTTTTTTCCATATTGATGCAATATTACATAATGCTTAACAGTATAATCACCATCAATTTTTGATAATACAATAAAAGTTTTTAGTAAATAATGAAGCTCATTACAGGTAACTGTGAAACAAACTATTTCTTGTAATAACATATTTGTAGAATATAATTAGTATCCTTGGGGGTATATAAAATACCTGTTAGTTCAGTAGCACTAATATCAGACTTAAAAGCGCTCCTGGCTGAAATATTATTATTGTCAGTTAATGAACTGTTTGTCAGTTAATGAACTGTTTGGATTTGGGAGGGGGGGGGATGCTTTGTGTATCAATGTGCAATAATGTGTGCATGCTAGGTAGAAGTTATATTAAAGCAATAACAGTTGATATAAATGGACAAAGAGAGAGGTGATCAAATTATTAAGTTTCTGCAAAATAAAGAACTATTGTATTTTACAATTTAGTGTTCAGAGTACTCTTTATATCATCTTATAAACAGAGGGTTGACATTAAAAACCTTAAGATCAATTGTCTTAAAAATTGCACTTTATTAAAAACTTTGGTCCTTACTATATGCTCTGCATTGACAGGACTATCTATGGCACACACAATGCAAACATTTTCACTTTGTAAATAACTTTCTACAAAAATTAATTAGGATGATATTGAAAATTCACAAATGAAACCAGTGAAACGTTTTTAAATGGAAAAACTTGTACATGCGCTTAAGATTAAATAAGTCTTAGAAATAACATGAGTAAATTGGCACCTAAGAAATTATTCCTAATTTCTATCACATATTCTTAAAAACTTCCTCAGATGTAGTGGCTAGATTTTTTTTTTTTTCGATATCCATCTTATTTAATTCTGTTATGTGCTGGGTGTCTGGCTTATGAAATCTGCCCTCCATCACTATATAGCTTGTACACAAGCTGCAAAGAAAAGTTTTTTAAATTTTACATGAAATAGAAAGTTTTCATTTCCATAATAACTACACAGTCCAAACATTGCAACTTACCTTGTCTGTTACTTGGTCATTAACTGTTAAATTAGCCAATATTAAATTATTCACTGCATGGCACTCATGGCGTAATTTTTATCTTGCAAGTTAAAAATGACCACATAATGATAATTTACCTCATATCTTAAGAAAGAGCTTGGAACTTACACTTTTAAACTTCTGAGCCAATCCTTCTACAAACTGTTGTGGGGTCTTCCCATGGGGCACCATGGTGTTCAGCTCTCTTCCTTCACCACGGCCTTCATACTCTGCAAGCCTGTCAGAGGGAAGCAGGTCCTCCAGTGGATCCATCTAAAGGAACATAAAACTCCTTGTATATAGATATATTAAGAGAGAGAGATGCAGAAACTGGAAGTGAGAGAGAGACAGAGAGTTCCAACATACCGTATTCATTCTTTCCTTCATTTCCTCTTCTCTCCTTGTATCACAGATGAATGCAAACACAGATGCTCCTTCCAGATACTTCACCTGAAAGATGGGATAAACACAATAATAATCATTTCAAGGATAAACACTAATATGCAGTTGTAAACTTCCAAAAAAAATAAGGAGTCCAACTTCTTAATCTGAAGACACACAGCCACAATTAAGACATTGATTAATCTAATGAACCATTTCAAATGGAGGCAATTCAAATTGATTTTTTTTCCAATTTAGACTGACATAAAAACTACTAGCAATTCAAATTGATTTTTCTTTTTCCAATTTAGACTGACCTGAAATCTACAGGCCATAAATTCATTAAAATTCACACATATGATGGTCATACATATCAGGGGCGGATCCAGAGATATTTTCGGACAGTCTTCCAAATTATCTTTGTTGATCCATCTTCCATTTTTGACGGTCTTCCGACAGAAAACATTAGATGGCTGACAATGTAAAGTTGAAAATCTGACCGTCTTCCAGAAGACCCAGAAGACGGCCTAAATCCGCCCCTGCATATAATTAAACTCACAGACTTGTTAGCCACAGCCTTAGGAGTCCATTCCCAGACTGGTTCCTTGGTCAGCTGTTTCAGCAAAGCTGCACTGGGAGCTCCTCTGAACAGGGGCAGTTTATACAGGTCAAAGTTCACATAACCATCAATAAACACAGGGAGTGCCGTCCAGGCCTAACAAAATATAGGTCAAATTTCAGGTTGAACATAAATGAAGCACTGGCCAGGCCTAATTTATAGGCCAAAATTCACATATCACTGAAAATATAGACCCAAGTTAACACAACATGTTTGGGAAGTGCAGTCACTGCCCAAAGTTATAAAATAATAGTGGGGACTGTCAAAACCTAGGAATATACAGTGTATGAATGTATAATCAGGGATGTGACTGCCATTTTGTGAAAAAGTCAGAAAATATGGCATGATATTTTTGGTACCACTTAAGTCAGAAAGCTTCCGATAGTCTGAAGTCTGAATAACCTCATCCCTGTATATTACATGTGAAGGCCTTTGAACCAAATCTTATTGCAACGTATAAGCATTTCAATTAGCCAATTGACTCCACATCATTTGTCAAGTACCTGTTCCATCAATCCATATTTGTAGCTGTCTTTACTGATGTTGACTGCAATCTCTTGTATATGAATAACAACACACATATGTCTATGTAGATGTCTGCTGGGAAAATGCTGCAAGTAGGAAAAAAGTTACATGTATAGAGCATGGTTAATAGCCAACTTGTGTTCAAACAAACTTTTTCTACTGCTAGCCTCTTGAAATTCATATTTCAGGTTAAATTATATTGCCAGACTTCAATTTAGTTTC